CATTCGATCAAAGTTCAAATTTCAAGCAAATTTTAATGGATTTTTAGACATTCGTCTAACTTTCGCTAATTTTTTCAAAGTCAAACAATCAAAAAAAGGGAAATTTTTTTTCGGGGGTTTTCAGGGTCGCTGATTACGAATCCGAGGACAGTTTTTGAAAATTCAAAATGTCGGATCCAATATGGCGGACAAAATTTTAATAATTAGAGCTAAGTACTCCAAAATGAGTACTCGGGGGTTTTTGTGTTTGCTGATTACGAATTCGAGGTCAGTTTTTCAAAATTCAAAATGGTGGACAAAATTTTAGTAATTAGAGCTAAGTACACCAAAATGAGTACTCGGGGGTTTTTGTGGTCGCTGATTACGAATCTGAGGTCACATCACACAGTTTAGTGCAGTTCAGTGATTTAAAAAAAAAAAAAAAAAACTTTTACATAAATATATACAAAATTTATTTTTTAATTTCTTAATTGTGTTTTTATACACTAAAAAAGAAAACAATTTTATTTCATTAAAATAATAATCGATTACTTAACTATTATCAAATAAATAATTTATTTGATCCAAATAATCGATTACTTGATTATTCTAAAATAAATATTTACTTAAATTAAATAATTTTTATTTAAATAGTTTGTATAATTTTTATTTTATTGTATAATCTGTATATATTTCAACCAATAATTTTTTATATTATGTATTTGAAAGAAATGCTGTTTAATTGACTCTATAACTATATTTAATACAAATAAATATTTAATTTATAATAGTTAAGTAACCGATTATTTGAATCAAATAATTTTGTTTTTTGTTCAGTGCAACTAATACATATGAGTAATTTTTCATTTTCTTATAAAAATATTGTATTCATTTTAAATGTTAACTGTAAATTAAATGTAAATGTAAATTAAAAAAATGTAAATTAAATATGACGCTCTCGGGGATCGAACTCTGAACCTAATGCTCTGTAGACCTATACGCTAATCGCTAACCTACGCTGACATAAGAATTATAATACTAAATTATATTTAAAAACTACAACGGAACAAAATTAATATTCATTTATTAAAGGTTAATCAATTAACAATATTTATTGATAATTTATACACATAATAATAACAATAATAATAATAATAATTGTAATAATAATAAAATTAATAATAATAATAATAATAATAATAATAATAATAATACATTATAAGAATAAATTATTATTATTTTGTTGTTATTAAACTATTATTTAAATTAATAAAAAATAAATATTTAAAATAATAATTTTTCTATATAAAATATAAATAAAAATTAATTTCACAAAATTTGCGGTTCACATTGTAATTTAAGGTCATATCGTATATATATATATATATATAGGAAATTGAGCTGAAAATTGTTAAAGGGTTGAAAAGAATATATAGAATATGCGCACATTATTTGCGATGAACCAAAGAGGGGTTTGGAGGGTTTTCGGTTATATTCTATATTATGCGGAGTCTGCGCTTCGACAAGCTCTCAAAGTCTGTTTCTCGGTTAGCAGTCGATATTTTATCCCAACTGAGAGAAAACCATTTTTTTTTACATACATACATACACACACACTTACTGTCTTTCTCTCTCTCTATCTAATTTTTTCTCTTTCTATCTTTCTCCACATATTATAATTATGGATGTGCGCGATTTTATGTTCTTACCATCGGGTTGGAGGCAACTTTTATTATTATTTTTAACCAGGTTCGTCACGTGGACTATGTGTGCTGCGTGTATATATATATATATATAATCAATGTTATCTCAATGTTTTTTTTATTAAATAAGATATATATATATATATATGTATTATCACATCAAATTGTCAATGATAATTCTACTGACTTTTGATAAAAAAAAACATACAAACAATATACTTAGTAATTTCGATATAATAACTATTTTCAAGTATTGTTAAATGTTTTTCTTTTTTGCACTTTTTTATATTTCATTGTTCTTAAATGTTTTACTTACTTTGTCGTTTTTAATAAATTTTCTGAATTTTTGTATTATTTTTTAACGGCTTTTACTATTTAATTGTATTTCTTAATTTTTAAAAAATTTTTTTTTTTTTTTTATTTAATTCGATGTGTGTACTTTTGTATTGTTCCATTATTGGATAATATTTGTTTTTTCTTCTATTGTTGGAAAATATTTGTTTTGACTAAATTAACTGTATCACAGATATATTTTTTTTTTATTTATTTACATTTAATTTTTTCTACTATTTTCCTGTTTTCTGTTGTTATTTTTGCTATAAACATTATTATCAAAGTTAAAAAAAACAGAACTTGTAGTAGTAAAAAAAAATGTTTCTTTTATCAATTTCATTGTTTTTAATATTTTAAATATTTGAAATATTTTAAATATTTTAAATATTTTATTAAATGCGCTTTACTCAGTTATTCTTTATAAATCATTTTTTATAAAGACTCTTTTGTTCGTTTTTCCTTTGAAAATTAATTTCTTTTCTTTAAATTCCATTAACAAATTTTCATAAACAATTTTTATGATTAATAATTTATGTCCATTTTTACAACACACCTCTGATAAAGCATATTTTTGTTTTAATATAAGCCACGGGTATTTCTTGCGAATATATAAAAATGGGACGCATGATTATATTCTAAAAATCATTAGTTAGAATTTTCATTTTATGAAATTTTATATTTGTCATAATCGAAAATTTACTTTACAGAATTTTTATTTGTTCGAATTTTTATTTGTCAGAATTTTTATTCGCTCAAATTTTCATTTAACATAATAGGCATTTTAAACAATTTTTATTGGGTAGAATTTCATTACATATACTCAGAAAAAAATTCGTTTTCGAAGCAACCAAATTTTGGTTAAATCAACAAAATAAATGCATTGATATACAGTTAACCAAACATTTGGTTGCATAAACCAAACGTTTATTTGGCTCAATCAAATTTTTTCTTTGTGCAAAAAATTTATTAAAATAAACCAAATAGTTATTTAGATCAAATAAATTTTTATTTGAATTAAACAAATTTTGTTTGAACTAACCAAAAAAATTGGGTAAATATAAAAAAAATGGTACATTTGGTTCAAACATATCTTTTTTCTGAATGTAGAATTTTCATTTTATTCTTTCAGATGAATTTTCAATTGTTCGAATTATTATTTGATATAATTTCCATATAACCGATTTTTCATACTACAAAAATTTTTACTTAACCAAAAAATTATTTAACAGAATTTTTAATTGATAGAATTTTCATTTGTCCGAAATTGCAAAATGGACGAAAAAACAATCGATTTTGACGCGATTTTTAAAATCAACCAATCACAATTTTATGGATAATTTTTGATTGGTTGATTTTAAAATCGCGCCAAAATCTTTCTGTCGATTGTTTATTCGACCATTTGCAATTTTGGACAAATGAAAATTCTATCAATTAGAAATTTTGTTAAATGATTAATCGGTTAAGTAAAAATTCTGTAGTGTCAAATAATAATTCAAACAAATGCAAATTCTATGCAATGAGAAATTCGACCCAATAAAAATTGTTTAAAATGCATATTATGTTAAATGAAAATTTGAGGAAATAAAAATTCTGACAAATAAAAATTCGAATAAATAAAAATTCTGTGAAGTGAATTTTCGGTTATATAAAAATTCTATAATATAAAAAATCATTTTGATGAAAATTCTACAAAATACTAATTCAAAAAAATAAAAATTCGGCTGAATAATAATATTATGACAAATAAAATTCGATAAAATGATAATTCTAACTAATTATTTTTAAAACATAATCATGCGTTCCGTAAAAATTAGAATTTCTAAAAAAAATTGAGATATTCAAATTTTTTTTCAACTTTTTGTAATGTTTTACACAAAATTGTATTGTATTGGAAAAAAAATTCTTTATAGAGTCATTTCGTTTGACCTAGAAGTACATTTTGGCAAAGAGAAATAAACCGACTCAAGAACTTTTCCTCCTGTTGCTTATATAGATATATATATATATATATATATATATTCTACAATTTCGATATATTTTACTTTCATAATTTTTTTTTAACTCATAGCTGGAACATTACTTGTTTTATTTTATAAATTGCCCTCTTTCATTTATCGCAAATCACCTCCTACTCAATTCCCCCTTTTCTCTTTTGATTAATATTAATAGCAACACACTCTTGTTTAAAAGTCCAAGTTCGATATTGTTGATAAAAAAAAAAAGAATTGTTTTTTTTTAAATGAAGGTTGATTGTTATTATTGTTTAACATTGATAGTTGCTATTTTACAATCTAAAAACAATTTCTATATATAATTCGAGGAATTTTTTACGTTCTTACGTAAAGGAAAAATTGTTATGTTAACATTTCTTTTCTTTTTTTTTTTAAATTTTAATTTACATTTTTGTAAACTTTTAATTTTTTTTGGTATAATTTTATATAAATTTTTTGTAAAATATTACTTTACATTTTTGGATAATTTTATTTAATTTATTTTTGTAAAATATAAATGTATAGACTTTTTCGAATTTTTATACAATTATATATTATTATTTATTTACTTATTACAAATAAATGGAGTAAAAATAATAAATAAATTTTCAATTATTATTTCTTTTTTTTGCAATTTTTTCTATAATTCGACAATTTAATTAATTGTATAATTTAAAATTTTTTTTAATTAAATTGTAACTAAAGGGAAAAAATCATTTTTTAGATTTCTTTTGGTTTATTTTTTGAATTAAAAAATATTTTCTTTTGATTTGTTACATTTGTGGAAATTAATTTTTATTACAAAAGATATTTAAATTAAAAATTCAGGAAAAACGTTCATTAATTAATTTATTTAAATAAGATTTAATATTATTATTATTATTATTATTTGTATTATTATTATTATTATTATTTATTTTTGTTATTTTAATAATAAATAATTATTAGTTTTTTGAATTATTTTTTAAAGAAGATTTTTTTTAATATTTTACAGAACTAGATCAAAAATGCCTCCAGATGTAACAAGTACCCCAACAGAAGTGTTGCTCGAAGGTGAAATGCTCGATGACATTCGTTCTTCAATGGTTAAGGATGCATTTGTAAAACCGGAAAAATATAAAATTAGAATCGTCTGGAGAAATGTCATTATTTTCACTTTTCTTCATTTAGGAGCACTCTATGGACTTTACCTTTGTTTCACATCAGCTAAATTATTAACCACAATATTTGGTATGTATATAGATATTAATATATATTTTTTATAAATTTTTTTCTTCTACTAAAAAGAAAGTAGTTAACAAATTTATTATAATAAATTTATAGTTTTTCAATTTAAAAAAGTTTCCAAATTTTTTTTTTTTCACATTTATCGTCAATTATCGTAAAAAATTTGCCAAATTTTTTGATGATATATATATTTTCATTAAATATTTGAGAAAAAAAAAGATATTTGAAACAATAATTTAAAATAAATTTTTAAATAGAAAAAAGAAAAAGAACATTTTTTAAAAAGAAAAATAAAAAAACAATTTTTTTTTTGTTAAATTTTTATCACTTTTAGTTTATGATTTTGAAATTTTCAAAATAAATATTGTAAAAGTGACAAATAGAATGTCTCTAGAAAGTTAAAGTTTCGACCTTTCTCGCTTCAAAAATAGAATAAAATTTTGATTTGAAATTCAATCAGATTTCACCGTGAACTATAAGGTTGATAAATATTATAAATGGGCTTTTTCAAACGAATTATTGAATATTAATTCAACGATAAATGTATTAAAAAATTAAGAGACTTTTATTTTTCATTTGTCAATAATATAATTTCATCTGCGAGTACTAAACAATTATTGTTATTGTATTGTGTGTTAATTGAGATTTTTGTTACATAAAAAACAATTGAATTAAAATCCACAATATGTTTGATTTTTTTCTCACTTTAAAATTTCTCATCTTTATTGGAATAGACTTTTTAATACCGAAAAAAAAGAACTGAAAGAAAAAGTGAGAGACAATATTGAAAGTCAATTTCTTGGTGAAAAGAAACCGGAAGTACGCTGTATTTAAATTTAATTAAAATTTAATTTCTCCAAGTTACATTCATTGGAAGGAAATAAATTTTTTTTTCTCCAAGTCCGTATGTTTTATATAGTTAAAGGAAATTAAAATTAATTCTGAAAAAAGTAGAATTAATTTCATATTTTATAAAAATAAGAGGCAGAAAAAATTTTTTATATTTTTTTAAAAATAATTTATAAATTCAAAATAAATAAATAGTAATAAATATTAAAAAATTATAATTTTTTAATTGACATTAAAAAGTATAATTTCAATTAAAGAAAATATTTAATTTTTTCAAGACAGCATTGTCATCGAGTGAAATTGCATTTTTTTTTTAAAAGAAAGATCGATTTGTAAAATAATTTTCGAAATCAATAATTATGTCTTTGTGCTTTTTGTTTTCATTTTTTTTTTTTTGCTTTATAAATAAGCATAATCCCAAATGACAATTCAAAGTACAATGTAAAATCGATAAACATGATAAGAAATATATTTCACACTCTTTAAATAATCAATTATCATCGTTTCTTTCAAAATAAAATATTAAAATCTAACTTATCATTTTCAATAAAATCAGACCATATTTTTTTATTTATCTAATTTTAAGTAGTGGGACACGCGAAATTTTAATTCATAAAAATGTATTTACATTATAATATTTTTTGTTCTACGATTATTCAAGAATTATTCTTAAAATTTTGCCAAAAGAAAATATTTTTTTTAGAACTTTTTTTTTTGCTTTTGAAAAAATGATGATTTTTTGCTTTTGAAAACGTGAGAAAGTTGATAAAAATATTCAATACTTCTGTTGAAAATAGTTAAATAATTTTGAAAATTTTTTAAAATCCTCTAAGAAAAAAAAAGAACCAAAATTATGCAAAAATGATTAAAAAAAAAAGAATCCGAAAATTATTATTTTAATAAAAATTTATGAAATTATTTATTTTAATAAATAATTTTCCAAAAGTAGGAAAAAAGTATTTTAATTTAATTTTAATTAAATTTTTTTTTTGTTTGTTTTAAACAGCATTTATCCTGTATCAACTAACTGGATTTGGCATCACAGCGGGCGCACACAGACTATGGGCTCATAAATCGTACAAAGCCAAATGGCAGCTTAGCTTACTGTTGACCATTCTAAATACGATGGCCTTTCAGGTGAGTGTATATAATAGTCTTTGAAATTTTTTTTTTTTCTCAATGTTATTAAAATAAGATAGAGAAAAAAATAAGCGCAACGTTCAAAGTCTCAAGGTTGAAAATTACCAAATTTACAATTAGCCCAATTTCACACACACATACATACACAACTATCTTCCACAAAGAGAGAAAATAAAAAAAGACTTGATGTTAATGTATTCAAATACTTTCAAAGTCAAATTACTTTTTTTTTTCTCATGCTGATCACGTTATTCACATATGCAAATTAAGAAGACATTTTCAAATACTTGTAATTATATTTTTTTTTTTACAAATATTTTTCATTTACTATTAAGTAAAACTCGAGTGCGTCATAATATTAAGTAATAAATAATATTTATTTTTCTTTCTTTCATTACTTATTTTCATCTATATTTTTCCTTCTTTTCATTTAGAAAATTTGCAAGAAAACACTTGTTTTTAATGTGAATAATTTTTTAAATTTGAATTTTAAGTGAAATGTTAATTTTTAAATATAAATTATTTATTTAACAATTATAGATGCAAGTTAAAATAATGATTATAAATATATTGCATATAGAAACAAAAAATAACGCTATTTCGTTTTTTCACAAAAATAATTTTTATTCTCAATTTGGGCTGCAAAATGTTTTTTGAAAAATTAATAATTTAAATTTTGTATTTAAAAAACGATTTTTTAACCCTGAAATATAAAAAAATTATTATTTTTTAAAAACAATTTTTTTTTTGCTGAATTCTGCATGTTGAACACAATAAAGAAACATTTATAACAATCACGAAAAATTAAAAATTTGTCAAAATAATTGAATTTTAAAATTCAAAAAAACATTTTTTATCCAGAAATATTCAAGAATTATTATTTTTCAAAAATAAATTTTTTGCTGAATTGTTTAATATTTAAAAATAGATTTTTTTATTTATAAATATATTTAAATTTATTTTTTTCAAAAATAAATTTTGTGTTTAATTATGCTAGTTTAGCAAAAAAAAGAAAGAAACAAGTTAAACATTTTTGAAATATTAAAATTTTTTCAAAATAATTAAATTAAAAAATTTTAAATTAATACTCAAAAATATATGAAAAAAATTATTATTTTTCAAAAATTAATTTTTTTCTGAATGATGTTGGACTTGGGGAATTCAGCACATAATTTGATTTTGAAAAATAATAATATTTGAATAATTATAAAGTAAAAAAACGTATTTTTAAATTTGAAAATTGAATTATTTTGAAAAACTTTTTAATTTTTCGTTAATGTGTTAGAATTGTTTCTGTTTGTGTTCAACTTGCAGAATTCAGCAAAAAAATTTGGTTATAAAAAAATAATAAATTTGATTATATTTAAATGTCGAATCTATTTAAATTAGTAACTACAGCAAAATTTTTTTGCTATAACAACGAAATTGATTGCTGTGATAAGCAATATCAGTCAAAAATTTTTTTAAAATTAACTCTTATAGCAAACTTTTTTGACCGCACAGCAAATATTTGTTCCTTGTCTCTATATTAGGGAACGTAATTTGATGTCATCAAATAGTTCGCTACCACAGCAAATTTCTGAATGGCATTTGTTTCTTTTTTTAAAATTTGAATCCTAATTATTATTTAAAAAAAAAAATTTGCAGCACAAAATGTTATAAAAATTATTTTTTTGAAAAAACCAAATCACATTGCTAACTTGCATATAATTTTAAACCTTGTTTACAAAATCTCATGGCCATTCTTCTAGTTTAGATTATTTTACTTAAAGTAGTATTTATGAAAACTTAAATTGAGATTGAAACATTTACACATTTTACAAAAAAATCTGTCTTGATTTTTACATATTAGAGAAATTTACAAAATTGTAATTAATAATTTTTTTTTCTTTTTTAGGATGCTGCGATAGATTGGGCCAGAGATCACAGAGTGCATCATAAATACAGTGAAACTAATGCAGATCCTCATAACGCAACGAGAGGCTTCTTCTTTGCACATGTTGGTTGGCTATTGTGCCGTAAACATCCTGACGTGAGGAGTAAAGGCAAAGGAATTGATATGAGCGATTTGATCAAAGATCCGATACTCGCTTTCCAGAAAAAGTACGTTCCAAAAAAAAAAAAAAATTAGAAATAATCTATAATTTAATTCTTCTTGAAAATCAGGAGTTTCAATTTTCAGTATTACAAAATTTATATTAAATTAATTTTCTATACTCTCCTTATAAAAAAATTGATAAAATAGAAATTCAAATTTATAATAGTCAATTCACTGGAAATTCGAATCATTAATGAGTTTTAGGAAATAATTATTTTCTCAATAATTATCTTTTTAAAATACATATTTCAACAAATTGAATATTTATTCTGCGTCAGTGACAAGAAAAAAAAATTCCAATCTATTTTTTTTTTTATAAAATTTTGCATACATTCTTACTTCGTTAATTGCATTTTTTTTTATCAATATTAATTTAATTTTTACATAAACTTTTTATTTATTTTTAATTTAGTTTCTTAAAAAAAAATTACTCTATTGACAATAATAATTGATAAAATTGAAAACAAATTTAAATTATTTAAAAACAAATTGTAAATTAGGAAATATTTATATATATATTTTTTTGTTCTATTTTTCAGATACTACACAATTTTAATGCCTCTGTTTTGTTTCGTGATACCGACGCTCATTCCAGTATTGTTGTGGAATGAAACATGGACGAATGCATATTTCATTCCAACAATTCTTCGATATGTATTCACATTGAATATGACGTGGCTCGTCAATTCAGCTGCCCATCTTTTTGGCAATAAACCATACGACAGGTGAGAATTAAATCTTGTGTGTTTTTTTTTTAATTGCTGGAATTTAAAAAAAATATATGTAAATATTTTTCAAAAATAATTATATTTTCAAAATTTTTAAACTAGGATTATTTTAAAGTAGAGTTAAAAATAAAATAACTGATAAGTTTATTTATTTATTTACTCAATACATAAAAAGTAATGAGTAAAGGATAAAATAAAAGAAATTGAAAATTTTGCAATTTTCTACATAAATGTAACAATATAATATTAATTTATCAAGAATTTAGAAAAATAATTCATTTAATCTTGGAAAATTTTTTAAAATGGGAGTAGTGAAATTTCATGAGCCAAAAAAGTTTTGAACGTTCAAATGAACGAAATATTTTTTTTTTCAATCTACAAATTATTAAAAATTATGATATCAATGTAAAATAAAAAAGGAAAATTAAACAATTATTAAATTAAATAACTTTTTTATTAGATTTTTTAAACAATATTTTGTAATAAAATTCGTACTTAAAGAAGTTGCAAAAAAAATTTTGTTCATTTGAACGTTCAAAACTTTTGGCTCATGAAATTTTAATCTTTGTTTTGGGGTTCCAAATTATTTTTCGACATTTATTGATGATTTTTAAATTTATATACATCTTAAAAAAAATTAGAAAAAAATTTGTTTAGTTAACAATATTTTTTAAAAGAACAAGAAATTTTTGAAAAATTAAAATTCTTTCATTAATATTATACCTGTATTTTCCATTGAAAATTTTTTTAAAAAAATTTTTAAACAAAATACGTTTTTTTAGTATACAATGCAGATTTTCTTTAGATCTTCTTTATTTCAATTATTTAACAAATTTTCAACTCAGATTCTTCATTAAATTAATTATTTTTAATAATTTTAAGGAAATTCTTCACAAATTCAATTATCTTAAACTATTTTTCAATTAAAATTTTTATAAAATTTAATACCATTGTTTGTAATTTTAAAAAAATTACCAAACATTTTTAATTCCTAATCACTTGAAATTTAATTATTTGCAAAAAATTTCAATTATTTTTAATGATTTTTTTATAATATTCTTCGAAAATTCAATTATCTAAAAGCATTGTTCAATTCAAAATTTTTAGAATTAAATTTTTTATGTGATTTCTAATAAATTCTTCATCAACAGAAATGACTAAAAATTTCTCTTATTATAATTATTGTCTAAAATTTAACACAATCTTTTGAAATTCAATTATTATTTTCAAAAATTTCAATTTACAAGCTTCTAAAATTTAATTATTTCTAAAAAATTTCCATCTAAACTTTTTTGAAATTTAATAATTTTAATTATAACTCTCCTGAAATTCAATTATTTTTAATGATTTTTATAATATTCTTTGAAAATTCAACTATCTGAAATCATTTTTTACTTAAAAAGTTTTCAAATTATTATATTTTTGTCTGCAATTTCGAATAAATTTTTTAGAAACAGTAATCATCAAAAATTTTAATTTAAAAATCACTTGAAGTTCAATTAATTTCAAAAATCTAAATTGTAAATCTTTGAAAATTCAATTAGTTTTAAAAAATGTTATCTAAAATTATTTGATAAATTATTTTTAGTTCTGTAAAATTTAATTACTGTTTGAAAATTAACAAAATCCTTTCAAATTCAATTATTTCTAAAAATTTCAACTTTAACTCTTCCAAAATTGATTATTTAAAAAAAAAAAATTTATTTAAAAATCAGTAAAACTTGATTAAGTATTGCTTGAAATTTTATTGACCATCAAAACTAAAAATTATGACAAAATTTGTAATTCGAATAAATTGCTTAAATCAGATTTAAAAAAAAAATTAAAAAATGGAACTTTAAGAATTTTTTTTACAAATTTGTCCTACTTAAATAAAATTTTGAAAAATTGTCTTACAATTAGTTCGATTTTGAAATATTCGAAATAAATTCTTTTGATAATATTCTTATAGAATTATTCTCATTACAGAATTAATAAAATGAATTTAATATCTAATAACATTAGTTATTTAAAATTAAATATTCATGATTAACGTATTAAATTTTGTTAAAATGAAAAAAAATGGATTTTTTCGACTTTTTTTGGAATATAAATCAACTAAAACGACTTTTTTTGTGCCTTAAAGTCGATCCGAGGCCTATAAATTATACAATAATTGTTGATTATATTTAAAATCTAATATTTTAGATCATAAATAATCGCAGGAAAAAATTGACACGTGTTGGCAATGTAAATTTTACTGCTCCGAACCCTTAAATAATAAAATTGAAAAAAATTTATTTGCAATTTTTTGATTGACAGTTAAATAACTAAGTAAATGCAAGGAATAATATATTTTTTAACTTTTACTATAATTATTAACTACACGTTTTAATTGAATTGAGAGTACTTAATTATAAAGTAAAATTAGTGGAAGAATGTTTGTTCTGACTTTTTTTTTTATTCGACTTATTATTCAATTTCTTTACATTTATGATTTAATGGTTGTGAAAAAAATATATTTACTACTTAAAAATTGTCAACAACTTGTTAATTAGAGAGAATAATTTGTGAATTTATTAAATTTAAAAATGTCTTTATTTCAAAACTTAACAGTGAATCATGATAGATGACACAATTGAAATGTAATTCTTCATTTCAAACATTTATTTTCTTTCAATTTCTAGATAGTTGTTATTTTATTTAAAAAAATTTGGTTTCTTTTTGAATTACTTCTTTTTTCCAAACTACATTTTTAAAATTTTTTAATTAATTCACACATATTAATTCATTAGAAAAAAATTAATTACTTAAAAAATTAATTTATATTAAAATTATAAATGAAACAAAAAATTCTTAACTTTCAATTAGTTTTATTATTAAAATTCAAAAATTAAAATTCAGTTGTAATCTATTTTTTTAATTTAATAATTTTTAAAAATCAATTGTTTTGTTAATCTAATTATTTCCACCTGCATTAAAAATTAGAATTTTAATAACAAATTAAAGATAATTGAATTGAAAAAATTTAAAAATAAAATAAGTTTTAGAGAGAAAAGAAAAATACTTTTATATTTGAGATAAAAAAAATTTAATTTCTAATAAAAATTTTTTTTTCTTTTTTCTCAAGGTTTATCAATCCAGCTGAAAATCATGGTGTCGCAATAATGGCATTGGGCGAAGGATGGCACAATTATCATCATGTTTTCCCATACGATTACAAAACAGCAGAATTGGGCAACTATAGGTTTAATTTTACAACAGCATTTATTGATTTCTTTGCGAAAATTGGTTGGGCATACGATTTGAAGACAATTTCACAAGACATGGTTCAAAAACGTGTTGAGAGGACAGGCGATGGAAGTCATGATATTTGGGGTTGGGGCGATAAAGATCAACTTCCTGAAGAACGAGAACAAACAATCATCAAAAATCCAACGAAATCTGACTAGAATTATAAACCAAGTGGTTCACAACCTCCTAGTGCACATTAAGTAGTCAAGTGATTTTTTTTTTTAATTAGTAATAAGTATAAACAATAATTGTCGACTCAATTGAATTCTCACCTTAGTTCATATTGTCCTGGAAGCTTATTATCATTATTATTTTTTTTTCAAGAATTTACAAATGGCACATAATTGTGATACAGTTTTAGTGTGAAATAAATTTTTGTCCCTTTTTTTTATTGTAAAAATTAATAAGTAAGAATAAAGAAGAAGAAGAAATAAGAGAGAAAAAGTGCACAACTTTTTTTTTTTTGCAAAATTTTTTTTCTTTTCGAAAAAAAAAGAAAAAAATTTTTTGTAAAATTACTAGCTCCCAGTTTTTTATGTTCTAAGGTGGGAATTCATTCTTTGTAAATGTCACGCGTTTAATTCAATGTCCAAGAATTAAACAAAAAAAAAAAAAGAAATATTAATAATAATAAATAATCAAAATACGAGAGTAAAAGGCAATGAAACATAAAACAAAAAAAAAAAAAAAAGTATACTGCGTCAGAGGCTTGACACATATTCACTGTTAATTATATATACAGTAAAAAAAAAAAAAAAAAAAATTTTAAGGGAAACGAGAAAATTTCTCCAAAATTCCCTTGAAATTTCGTAAAAAAATTTTTGCAAGACTGCGGGCACTATAAAAAAAAAAACTTTATCCCGTTCTATCCATTTCTTCCCAAATTTACCCATCTTCCCTCTTTTTGTCTTTTTATCCCTTTGCACGCAAAATTTTCAATCCTTTTCTATATTTCTACTGGTGTCTGTCCCTTTTCTACTATATTACAAAAATTTAACACTTTGCATCGTATTTGTCAAAAATACAAAATTTTCAATTAAAAATTTTAACTAAAAAAAAAGGAGAGAATTAAAATTAAATGAAAATCAAAATTTACAATAACGTTTTCAAAAACAATATTTTTTTTTTATTAAAAATTGTCAAATGTATTAAAAAAATACGCGCAAAAAGTTAAATGACTGTGAAAAAAAAAAGAAATCAATGATATTAAATAAGACATCTGCTCGCAGACTGCTTTTGCTCCAATAATTTTTTTTTTTTCAAAATATAATTAGATTTAATTAAAGATAATTTAGATTTTTTGCACTTTTTTTTATCTACACTTTTTTTAATTATTATTTTTTTTTTTTTTGCTAATATTTATTGCTCCGATAAATTTGAAAAAAAAAATTGTGGAAAAATCTTTTGATTATTTTTCCACATTCAAGACACATGTAGATTAAGTATCGAAAAAAAAAATTTAGGTGGTGATATATAATTTTAAAGTAAAAAAAAAAAATAGCGAGTAAAGCGAAATAAGAATGGTGGAAATGGTATGAAAATTCAATAATTTATATACATATATATTTAAATAACAAAAGAAAAAGTGAAAATTCTTGCAGAATAATTATTTTCTTAATTTCAATAGAAAAAAAAAGAATTTTTTTGCAGAGACTATTCGCGTAACTTACCTTGTACCTGTCAAATTCTTAATATTTACTTTAAAAGATAAACGTGAATTTGATAAATTTTTCAAAACAATTTTTGTGATTATTAAAAAAAAAAAAAAAAGAATTTTTCGAAAAACGCGAAGGTTTAAAAAAAAGAACATATATAGAAAAAGCAAACATTTTTTGACAAAGAAAAGACTAACTTTTGCAATTAACGATTATTTAATGAAAAAAAACTTGATTAATACATAATGATAAAAATGATGATGATGATGATGATGATGATGATAATGAAAAAAGCGAGAAAAGAATTTCTTATTGCTGGTCGGTAAGGTGGTCTTTTCAAGGTTTACAATTTGTTTACATAATAATTATATTTTTAAAAAATGTTACTACTCAAAGTATCAAAAAAAAAAAAAAAAAAAACAAACAAAACACTTGCTGTATTTATGAAGTGCGAAACAATTTAAAAATAAAAGAAAACTATAGACATTGCTGCATCACTTGAATGGTGTATTCTACAATCTTTAAAAAAAAATGGAATTTGTTTACTGTACGTCCAGAAAATTGTTTAATAAAACCATGTATTTTAAAATAAATTTAATTCTGGCTAACATTATTACTCTTTGAACGTGTGTGACTGTTTAAATTTTATTTTGTTTGACTTTTTGAATATTTTTTTTTTAAATCTAATTTTAAAGAACCCCGCACTAAATACACAGAAAATGGCTGACGGTTAAATTTGGATATATTTTGTGAAATTTTAGTTGAAAGTGTCCTAATTGAAAAAAAATTGTCCGGAGGTCACTGAATAAATAGTTTAGCTAATAAAAAAATGTCGAAACAACGCTGTGCCTAATGAACTTGCGTATCTAAGTAGGCAAATCACTTGTTCGAAAGTGAATATTATAAAAACTATTATTAAAAAAATTAATTCAGTGACCTCCGGACAATTTTTTTTCAATCAGGACACTTTCAACTAAAAATTCTCAAAATATAGCCAAATTATATTATTGTATATAATAATGTGTATTTAGTGCGGGGTCCTTTGTTTTCAGTGTGTTCCCAGAAACCCTCCTAACAAGATTAGGAAGAAAAGAAGTGTACACGGAGAGAAAAATCTAGCTTTAATACAAAAAAAACGTAAAAAAAGTGTCAAAGTGCCAGAAAATGACAATTCTCATAGTTTCTATTGTGGTTAAAAGTATGAGTTCTTAGAGGGATCAAAATCAAGAATAATCAAGAACATGTCAACAAAAGCCTTTCTAGTAGCAGAACAATTTATATTTATTTTGCACGCACTCTGCCGTCAATTTTTGGTACAACTAAGCACTGTATTATTGCTCGGGTACCGTTTAAAATAGTAAGGAGCCATGCAAATACAGTTCTTGGTCGTACTCAAAATTGACAACAGTGCGCGTGCGAAATAAGTATTGGAATAGTGTTCTGCTAGAAAGGCTTGATATTTTACTCTAAGTACTAGTTTAAATTTTTATGAAGAAATAAGGAGTAATAAGTTAAGAGGACATCTACTTGCAAAGTTTAAAGCCAGGTGGCAGATATGTAAGTGGTTTTTAATGGATATATGTATACACGAAGTAGTATAAGGAGACGTAACGCCCATAGTAGATTGTGGTGAAAGTGAGCCCCAAAATCGTGTCCTAGAGTTTCCGCATTTTTCTAATAATGCGATGAGGACGCCGCGCGTGGAGAAATAGAGAATTAAAATTTATCACGTGCTCGCATGTGCCGACAAATTGTCTTGAACCGGTGTTTCGCGCTTGCACTTTGTGCTTTGTTAATGTTATCAGTGAAATGTCATGTTTTATAAAAGGATGTGGATCAAAAATAACTACAAAAGAAGAAAAAAATGGAGAAAATCGAAGTTTTTTTTCGGCTCGAACAGTATTTAATTTTTATTATTTATTATTGTTTTATTATTGTTAATATTATATCATTAGAGTTTTAATTATTTCCGAAGTGTTTTTTATTTTTTAATGCTTTCCTATTATAGAATGAAAGTTTGTTAACTTGGTCGAGTGCTATTGTTGGCATTGGAAAAAAACTAAAATTGACAAAAAAGGATAAGATGTGTGATTTGCACTTTGTGGAATCAGATTTAATATTTTTTTTTATTTAATATTTCACAATATTTATTTTATTATTTATTTATTACACAATATTTTATCAAAACCACTTCGTGATCAAAACACTTTTGCTGTCAACTACAGTTGTTTACGCGATAGCAGACGACATATTTTGATTCCGATTTATCTCAGTAGAGGCGCTACAAGAGCATTATTCGAAAACCTTAATAACTCTATAGGACACGCATTTGGGGTTGCTTTGAATGCATGGCGTTACGTCTCCTTATACTACTTCGTGGATATATATCAACCAGATCAAAAAAAAATGTTTAACTTTTTTTCAGTTTTTGTTTTGTTTACAGTCTGACATATAACCTCCAAATCTGTTTTGCGATTCTTAATCTTACAAGATTAATCAGATTAAAAACGTGAATCGCAGAACAGATTTGGAGGTTATGTGTCAGGTAAAAAAAAACTAAAACTGGACAAAATTTGAACATTTTATTTCAGTAGTTGTCAGTACAGCGCTTCTAATCAAGCGATGCTGCACAAACGACGCTTTATCGTTTATCTACAACTTATTGTGGAAGCTGAAATCAGCTGAAATATACTTTTGACACTGTCGCCGGTGCATCTGATGTCCTGAAATTTTTTTCGTGTATAACTGGATGGGCAACTCATGTAAGAGAAAAATCGTTTCCTGTGTGCTTCAAATTGAAACACAGCTCGCCATATTGTTCATTCCCTGGTTGTATGTTGTATACTCCTGTTATTGTGTGCGCACGTTCGTGTGATTCGCAAGTTAGTGTTGATTGCGCAGTGGTTTTCATCTGTTTGACAAGTGATTTGGAGATTTTTCGAAATTTTTTATTAATATTTATATCATTGAAATTAACATTTAAGTGAAAATGATTTTATAGTATGTGCGTGTTCTGAGAAAAAAATATGCAAAAGGTGTTTCTTTTCACAAGTGAGTACATATTTTAATACTATTATTATTGAAGTGTCTAATTTTTAGGTTATATTTTGTTTTTTTTACATTTTACACTGAAATATTCACATAAAAAGAAAAAATATCTAAAATACAATTTATGCATACTTATATTTTGTAATATTCATGTTTACAAACAACTATAAAATTTTATTTTAATATTTCTAAACATTTCTTTAAACTCGAACCAGTAATATAAAATTTTAATCAATAAATTAAACAAAATTAAAATGATAAATTTTTTATTATTTATATTATTCATTATAGTTGTTAATTAATTAATTAGAAAAAAAAATCAAAGCTCTATGACTGATAAAATATTTTTATTAACATCATTTCAAACAAATTATTTACTTACATTTTTTTAGCATAAATATTAAATTAATTATGCTACAAAAAAAATTTTCTCTTATTTTTTTATCATTCATTATATACCTATTCAAAAGATAAAAATCTAAATAATTTTTTATATTATGGAGGTTCAATCCATTAACATAACCTCAAACTAAAAAGTAGTTTTTAACAGTACTAAAAATATATTTAAAATTTATTACACCCAAATTCGACAGATTCAATTGTACAATTGAAAGATTCTTTATACAGTTCTAATTTTGTGTTATTGTTAAATTATGGTTTGTTTAAAAAATATAAAAAATAAAAATTTTATTTGTTTATTAACTTTTGAACAAAAATATTTTTAATAAAATTCAACAAACAGAATTATATAGAGAATCTTTCAAAGAGAAAAATGAGCCATTGTTTACAAAAATTGGATAAATATTAAAATTGTTCACTAACTATTAAGAAAAAATACAAAATGTTTATTAATTCATTATTTAACAACAAATTTTAACTAAAAATAATTTTTTTCCAAAATTGTACAATTGAATCTGTCGAATATGGGTGTAATAAATTTTAAATATATTTCTAGTTCTGTTAAAAACTACTTTTTAGTTTGAGGTTATGTTAATGGGTTGAACCTCCTTAAGGCCAGGTCCAAGTCGTGTCAGCCGTTCCATTGAAACTTCAAAGGAACAGCTGACTCGACTTGGACCTGGCCTTAAGAATCAGTTAAATATTATATTCAAGAAATGTGGTGTGTATTAAATATTCCTATTAATACAAATAAAATATCTTTTAATCTCTTGGTATTCTTGTAAATGATTATAATTTTTTTTTTTTAATGATGATAACGCAATGCCGCTTTCCGTGCTTCATCATCTGCAATTGTTTTTAATGTCTCCCAACAATCAGAAGGTGACTTCTTTTTATCAGCAGCTATATACAATATATCGCGAACAGCTTTGCATGTTATTGTTTTTAATGCTGTTATGACTCCCATAGGTTCCCACATTCTGATAATAAATGACGTCCATCCTTTGTCATAACCTCCAAATTCACCTGTTTTCCAATCCCAAGGCAACAGGTAGTGATAATTTGGCCAGTATGATTTGTTAATTATAAATATCGAATTGTCATCAACTGGAAATCTACAATTTGGTGAATTATTAAAAAATTATTAACCCAAGTAGCACGTAATATTACAGTAATATTAAAATGTCCGCCTCATGGTAATATTACAGTAATATTACCCGGTAATATTATCATGAGTTGGACATTTTAATATTACTGTAATATTACATGCTACTTGGGAATACTATTAATTAATTATTTAATTATTTTAGTAAAATATTGTATAGTGAAAATATTTAGGATTAGATATAATTTATGAGGAAATAAATTTACTAAGTAATTAATTATAAAAATATTTTGGATAGACAATTTTTGATTTTAATTCAAAGTATCAAGAAAAAAAAAATTAGTATTCCTCCACAGCATCTAAACTAGCTGCATTATTGTTAATATTGCATAAATATTTCCAAGATTTTTGCAATATTAAAATATTGGGAAAATAATGCCAATTTCTATTTCTTCTAGCGCATGCCCGACGTGCGAGAATGTATCCCCACCATAGCGAGACCTTGGATTGTATTTAAGGAGCTTCGCGCAGCAGCTGTAGTCATTCGAGCAGCAAAGTTCTTCTGAGAAAGATCTTACGTGGATGAAGATGTCATCATTATTATCTTCTTTTCACGGTAAGTTTCACTTAATTTTTTAATATATAACGTTGTTTATCTCGATAAAATTCAAATTTTCATAACATCTACACTGAGAGACCTTTTGCACCGCATCAGAACTACGTGTGTGACTGCAGCGCCACTATAGGTTTTGGTGCGCTGCATTCTAAATTTTGTATCGTGACTGCCCAAAAATGAAAATGAACCTTTCGGCCGTCAATTTTTTGGACAGCTACGCTCCAAAAATTGTACGGCTGCAGACCAAAAACGTAGTTTCATAGCTGACCGCTAGAATGATCCGCAGCCGTCTGTCGAAAGTCTGTTACGGTGCAAAAGGTCTCTCAGTGTAATAAAATTTTATAAATTTACTATCCAAAACATAATTATCAATTAATTTAGTAAAATTAACAAAATTTTACTATTTTAAATGCTTATAACAAATAAAGTAAGAATAAAAAAGCTTATTAACGAACTGTAATATGAAGTTAAATTTTTTTATGAACGATAATGTGAAGAATAGAATAAAGTTCAGAAAATACACGGAGAAAAATGGAAAACAAAAATAATTCAAGGCGCATAATTATCCTATAAAAATCATTACTTAAAATTTTCATTTTCAACAATTTTATTAGATATAATTATTTTTTTGACGAATTTCCATTTTTCGAATTAATTGTTAAAATTTGTTTAAAATTTTTAATTAACAGAAGTTTTAGGCACCGAATTTTTCTTGGGTAGAGTTCTTAAAACGACAAATTTTTATTTCTCAGAAATTGTAAATGGCCGAACAAACAATCGACAGAAAGATTTCGGCGCTATTTTTAAATCCACACCCTAAAAAAAGTAATTTTCAATCTAGAGGATTCCTCTAAAATAAATGCATATTTTCCTCTTAATTTTGGTATCAAAATTATTATTCTTCATTTAAGAGGATTTTCCTCTTAAATTAAATGTTGACATCTAAACCTCGCAAAATTGTTTTTAATGTCAAAGCCATCAATAAAATATTTATAATTTCAATCAAATAATAAAATCTTTGCAGAAAATACATTTTTAAATTAAAATTAAGTAAAATTATAATAGTTCACTTCAATATAATAATAAAAATTGATTTTTAATATAACATTAACAATGTCATGTTTTTGGTTAATTATCAACATTTTATATTGATAATTAAAATACAAAAAATAAGTTTTCATTAATCAGTTGTAATGATCAAAGAGATTTTCAGCGCAAAAATAATTTTAAAACATGATGATATGTTTAAAAGTTAACATTTTTTATAGGACAGAAAAAAATTTCATATATGAAATTATTTAACGTTTTAAAACTTTTTTAAAAAAATAAATAAAAAGATTTAAAAAATTCGAAAGATTCAAAAATAGGGTTATAGTATTTCTATTTACCTGAGTAGTAAAATTTCACAAGAAATATCCAAATTTTTTTAAATCTAAAAATAGCGTTAAAAATATTCATTTAATTTGAATTTAACTATATTTTCTGTATTTTTAATAAAGCAAATCTATTTTTTTGTCCTTTTTGTTGACATTTTACCAGAAATATTAAAACTGAAAGGTTAAAAAACAACTTCACAACTATCATATCCAGGGAAAGGGATCAAACGATTACATTATTTTTTTCCGTTTCCTTTTTTTAAATCTTCTAAATTTAAAACAGAAAATCTTAATTAAAGAAGAAAATACAAAAGGAATCCTTTTGTCATTCTTCCATTAAAATGAAGAATAAAAATATTCTACATTTCAATTGAATAATCTTGTTTTAAGAGGAAATATTTAGAGGATATTAGAAGAGGAATTTTCCTCTGAATATAAGATTACTTTTTTTTGGGTGCACCAATCACGATTTTCTTGACAACTTTTGATTGGTGGATTTCAAAAATAGCACCGAAATCTTTCTGTCGATTGTTTGTTCGGCCATTTGCGATTTCGGTCAAATAATAATTCGGCATTTTAAGAATTCTGCTAAATAAAAATTCGGTGCCCTAAAAATTCTTTAAAAAAGAAATTCTGACAAATTTTAATTCGAAAAATGAAAATTCGTTTGAAAAATAATTAATTCCAATTAAATTCTTTAAAATGAAAATTTTAAGTAATGAGTTTTATGGGATAATCATGCTGCCTCAAATAAAGTAATTTTTACTAGTTTCAAAGTAAATACTAAAAAATATACTATATTTCTGAAGTAATTTTTTCTATTCCCAAAGCAAAAGTTGTCAGAGATGCGCAGAAGTTTCAGACAGTTTAGGTTTTACTTTGTAAATAGTAAAAATTACTTTATATTTTTTTCCGTATGTTTAGTATATAAGCAGGGTGATTCTCTCAAAAAGGACAAATCACGCTTTCACGGTAATTTGTTCAAAAATACTAAAATTGATTGAAATTATTGAAAATTCTGTTAGCTATACGTTAAGATTTAACAATTTTTAATCGGATCACTAATGAAAAATTCAAAAAAAAATTCCAAATAACTGAAATATTGAATAAAATCTGATGTTACGGAGGTGAGTTACGAAGTGAAGTTTTAACACTACTTTTCATTCAATAATTCAGTTATTTGACCTATTTTTGAAATTTTCACTAGTGATCCGAATGAAAATTGTTAAATTTTATCGTATGTCTGGCAGAATTTTTATTAATTGAAATTAATTTTATTATTTTTTAACAAAAACACCGTCTAAAATCTTGCACGCGTGATTTGTCTTCTTTGAGAGAATCAACCATAAAATGAATTTCATTTAAAAATTTGACAATATGAACACTGTAAAACGAAAGGTATTAATTTAATACCAACTTTAGGTACTAAATTGTTATTTGATTCTATTTTGATACCTGAAATCGGTACTGTTTTAGTACCTTCTTTTTACAGTGAAACAATTCCATTGCATATCAAATTGAATTTTTGAATTTTAACGATCGAATGATGAACTCTTGTTTTTTTTTCTAATTCTTCACCTTATATTTTAATTATTGCACACGCCATCACCATTGATGATGACGGTGCCATGACTCTTGGGCATTTTAAAGAAGAGAGTAAAAAAGAGTCTCATAGTATCGAAAATGGACATTAACTTGTCTCCTGGTTTGAGTCCCCAGATGAGCATGGCACTGTTCACCAAACATGATATTTGATTGGAAACAGCCAATCGTAGAAAGCCAAGAATAAAAATAGAATTCATTATCGATTCACCCCAATATTCAGCCGGTGCATTCATTGGCAGTAGAAGGCCCAAAATTGGAAACAATATCCAGTAGAGTCTGCAAACAAAAAAATAAAATTTTACTTTTACAAACAACAAAATAGTAAATATTTATAACATGTACCTACACTACGAGAAAAAGTTAATTTTGACTTAACCAAACGGTTTAATTAACTAACAAAATAAAAGTGTTAATTTAATTTTTACTGATATAGTCTAGTCAAGTTAGCATTATTTTTGACCTCAATTTTTTTGCTTAAACCCTTCATTTTGGGGTAAAAATTATGTACCTAAATTTGGTACTTCGAACTCCTACCGGAACCTAAAACTTTTTTAAGAAATAAGTGCAAAAAATCAGTTTTTTCAAATTGCCGCCTTCTATGACCCATTTTTTTTCCTGATTTTAGCCAAAATTCAGTATTTTTTAGTTTTTCCAATATAGCTTTGAAACTAATGATTTTTTGAAAAAATGACCAACAGGAAAGTTAAAGCTGACTAAATTCCTGACAATTTGCAAAAAAGAACAATATAATAGCTCTAATAGTTTCCGAGATACAGTCTATTAAATTTGACCCTTTTGAGATTTTACATATACAATGGTAATGAATGAGATTGCATGTAAAACCTCAATAGGGTCAACTTTGAGAGACTTTATCTCGGTAACTATTAGAGCTATTATATTGTTCTTTTTTGCAAATTGTCAGGAATTTAGTCAGCTTTAACTTTCCTGTTGGTCATTTTTTCAAAAAATCATTAGTTTCAAAGCTATATTGGAAAAACTAAAAAATACTGAATTTTGGCTAAAATCAGGAAAAAAATGGGTCATAGAAGGCGGCAATTTGAAAAAACTGATTTTTTGCACTTATTTCTTAAAAAAAAGTTTAAGGTTCCGGTAGGAGTTCGAAGTACCAAATTTAGGTACATAATTTTTACCCCAAAATGAAGGGTTTAAGCAAAAAAATTGAGGTCCTGAGTTAAAACATAATATGCCTTGTTTTTCGATTACTTTGACTGGACTAATATACAAATTTTGAAACTTAGAATATTTTAATTTTTTAAAGACACACTACCTTTTTTGGAGCCAAACATATCCATCAACTTCAATAATTCGCATATCTATGTCTTTTTCAACTTTTTTTCGTTCAGGAGTATCTGTCATTAAATTACTAAATACGTGGCTGTACAAAAATCCATTGTTATGATTGTAAGGATCATTTTCTGTTCCATAAAATTTATGATGTATCCTATGTGATAATACCCAATCATAAATAGGACCCTGAAAAGAAAATTTTCCAGAATTATAAATAAAAAAAAAAAAACAAATGTATGTTTCGTTGAAAAAAAGAATTTTCTACTATAGGATATATACATTATTATTATTTTTTTCTCTACTAGTGTAAGAGAAATTACATAACAGTGGGTCAGTGGTTTACACTGCCGTGCGAAATAAAAACTTAGTTAAGTCATATTTTGTTCGAACGGAGAAAATGACGAAAAACTGTTTGTATTTAAAAACCTAATGTAATATAAATAATTCTTTAATCTAACTTCACTTCCTAGGTAATTTGATAGAGTTCTTTTTAATTCTGAAGTCAAAAGTTAATTATTTAAACAAATTATATTAAATAATTGACTTACGTTTTATTTTTTAAAAGCAAAACTTGGTTAACTCGAGTTACGTAGTGCTTTTCGAAAAGGTAGGCGAGCGCGAGCCTTCGTTCAGAAGTAAGAACTTAGTTAACTCAAGCTAAATGCATGGGATTCCGAATTCACCCGACGAAAATCCGAACTTTAACGAAGTTGACTTACGCTTGCTCCTATCGAAATGCAGTGTCCGGCTCATGCCACTTTTCGAAAGAGAAAACACTCAAGTCGAGTTAACTAAGTTTTTATTTCGTATCTTATGCTCGATCTCAACGCTTCCTACGATTTTTGGACTACTCAACTCGAGTTAACTGAGTTTTTATCAAGTATTCTTTTATTTTCTGGGTTTTTGTACATTTTTAATAACTATTTTTTGCAATAAATAATTAAAATAAAAATTTTTTAATAACGTAATCAGACGCAGTTTTTTCTTACGAATCCATTGATACCAAAAACTCATTTTTGTCAAAAATATGACTTAACTAAGTTTTTACATCGTACGGCAGTACAGTGGATCATTTCTGTTTTCTGGAAAATGATTTAAAAAACTATACCAAACTCTGAATATACACCCAGAGAAAGGATTTCTTTGATTTAAAGAAACCAATTTCTTCTGACTTGTTTTCTTACATTCAAAATAAAATTTTCTTTGAAACAAAAAACGTTTTTTAGTTTCAAAGAAAATTTCTTTGAATGAAAGAAATTTATGCATTAAGGACATTTACCCACGGAAATGCAGATCTCCAGAAAAAAATAAGGGTGTACTTCCGAAGTAGGGGTACCTCCGATTTTAATAAAACTTGGTATACTAACGTATTTTGGTGCGCTGATTACGAAAATGATAGTGAAAATTGGCGCAAATTTGATTATCATGGTAAAAACCATAAAAAACACCATAAAATAATGGTTTTTTACGATTATCTCGTAAAAAACAAAAAATTTCGAAAAAAGTTTTAGACAAAAGTTGTAGATCTCAAAAAAACACACATTTTATGTTTTATGCATTTTTTACCAAAAGTCATTATTTTTCGAGAAAAATCCAAAAAACGAAAAACACCATGATAATGAAAACATATACAGCAGTCATGGTTAGACATATTATTTGACTCGTATACAGTATCATATTCACCATTAGTCAGGATATAACGAATTCCGCAAAATACTTTCGGCCATATCCACCCCCTCTCGCCAAGGTTTTTTTTAAAAAGAAAAGCGAGCAGTACCTTACGCGGCCGAAGGCCGTGTTTACTATTTTGCGTTTACCGCTGCTGTGGACTCCACCCCACAATTTCCGCAAATTACTTTCGGACACATCCACCCCCTCTCGCCAAGATTTCTTAAAAAGAGAAGCGAGCAGTACCTTACGCGGCCGAAGGCCGTGTTTAATATTTTGCATTTACCGCTGCTGTAGACTCCACCCCACAATTTCCGCAAATTACTTTCGGACCATTTTTCTCGAAAAATAATGACTTTTGGTAAAAAATGCATAAAACATGAAATGCGTGTTTTTTTGAGATCTACAACTTTTGTCTAAAACTTTTTTCGAAATTTTTTGTTTTTTACGAGATAATCGTAAAAAACCATGATTTTATGGTGTTTTTTATGGTTTTTACCATGATAATCAAATTTGCGCCAATTTTCACTATCATTTTCGTAATCAGCGCACCAAAATACGTTAGTATACCAAGTTTTATTAAAATCGGAGGTACCCCTACTTCGGAAGTATATCCAAAAATAATTAATTAACATTTAAATAATTAAAATAATATTATTAATTGTACTTTCTGAAAGAAGAAATATCAATTTTCAAGAAAAAAATTTAAAATTTAAAAAATTTATTTGTTTATACAATTTGCATAGGATAAATCAAAGAAATTCTAACATTGATATAGGGTCAAAGAAACATTTATTTGAATTAAGTAATAAATTTCTTTGAAACAAAGATAATTTTTTTTTGAATCAAAAATAATTTGTTTGATACAAATAAATTTTCTTTGTATCAAAGAATGTAGAATTTTATCAATATTCTAGATAGATATAAAAATACGATCATTAGGAATCTGATGTCAATTTTTAAAAATTCAAACTGTCGGATGAAACATGGCGGAAGATTATTTAAAAATTGATCCGATTTGCTTTAAACTTGTAAGTTAGAGGCTTTTGAGGTATAGCTAAAGATTTTACAAAATGTCAAATTCATCATTTTGAAATCCCCTGAGTAGTGATATTTTCAAGTGAATCTAATGGATTTTTTTTAAAGTTCGCTAAATCCACTATTTTTAATTTTTAAAATCTGCTATCAGGTTCGTAATTATTTAAATAATATAATATTATAATAAAATATACAACATAATTGAATCTATGTCAATGAAAGTGTTTCAAGATTACACATTTCTATCGCTTAAGGGGGGGAGGGTAAGGTTAATTCCATGAAAAAATGCATATTTTTACGAATTTTTTTTGGCTATACAGAAAGAGTTAATATATTTATTAAATTTTTATATAATAGTACAACATTTGAACAGTATTTCACCAAAGTTTCATTGCAAAATATTGAGAATTGATCGAGTTACAGTCCATTTCCTCTGGCTCCCCAAAAAAAAGTTATTTTGCGGTGTTCACTGTAACTCGCAATAGAATCATCTAAAACAAAAGAATCAAAATGGATTTGTTAAAGGAGATGTTTTTCTAGGGATCGGGTTTTTGGCTTTAAAGTGCTACAAAAAATTCAAAAATAAAAAAAAACCTCCCAGGGATCCCTAGAAAAACATCTCCTTTAACAAATCCATTTTGATTCTTTTGTTTTAGATGATTCTATTGCGAGTTACAGTGAACACCGCAAAATAACTTTTTTTTTGGGGAGCCAGAGGAAATGTACTGTAACTCGATCAATTCTCAATATTTTGCAATGAAACTTTGGTGAAATACTGTTCAAATGTTGTACTATTATATAAAAATTTAATAAATATATTAACTCTTTCTGTATAGCCAAAAAAAATTCGTAAAAATATGCATTTTTTCATGGAATTAACCTTACCCCCCCCCTTAACCCTTAACTGGCACAATTCCGCGTTCTAACGTAAATGGCACAACGGGTCTGCTGGACTCGACGTATTCAAACGTGTATTGTACAGCCGGTATTGAATATTTTTGCACAAAAATTTAATCTAAGGTAGCTTATGATGTGTATATTTAAAATGTAATTAATTTTACAGAGATTAATTTATTTTTAGTTTAAAAAAAATTGTGAAAAATAAAAACGAAAAGTTGCGTATTTTTACTTAAAAATTCATGAGTTATTTAAATTTTAATATTATGACTTAAAAATTTAAGGTTATACTCTTGATGTATTATTCTTTAAGGAAAAAATTACCACAACAGCAGGACTTGCAAATAAGATATTTATTTTGCAGAATAAAATGTGACTTTTTAGGTTAAAATTAAAAATTTATAATTGGTCATGTTTGAAGCTAATTTATTATTTTGCATCGAATTAGTTGTATTAAAAAACTTACAAAATTACTAAAAATATGTCAAACTAATATATTAAAATATAAAAAATATTCAAAAGCTATACACATTCAATTAAAGTGAGCTCGAAAATATGCTCGGGTTTACTGGACCCATAGTACCAGTTAAGGGTTAAAATTTAAAAATTTACAACTTTAACACTAATTATTATCTTTCTTTCGTTACGGAAAAGAGTATTAAATTTTTTGCAAATAATAAAAAAATACTATTAAAAACAAATAGTCAAAATTGAAATCAATTATACAAATTAATAATAATTAATATAGTAATAATAATAATTAATAATTGTTATTACTTTAAACAAATTCTTTATATCATTGAATTGTATCCATTATTAATATTAATGAATGAATTGACCTACCACACCAGCAAGCGTGTGACATAACATTAAAAAAAGTCTGACTGCTCCGGAAGCTTCAAAAGACTCATGAGCCCAAAATCTGTGAGCTCCGGCTGTTATTCCCAATCCAGCGAGGCTCATAATAAAAATGGCTAGCAAAAAATTTTTAAAACTTATTTCAGTATAATGCAATTATTTTTAAATGTCACTTAAATATTATAAATATTATTCTGATAATTTAAATTAAAATTAAATTTAAATAAAATTCATTTTTAATAAAATAAAATTAAAAATTTGCTTACTTATTACTCTCTAAATTTGAATTAGTGAAAAGTGAGCTACTAATTCACATTAGTAAGAATTTTTTACTAATTTTTAGTAAAATATTACTATTCGATTTGGTAGTTTTAAATTTTTTTTACTAAAGTTTTAGTAAAAAGTTACTAAAAATTAGTGAAAATTCTTACTAATTTAAATTAGTAGCTCACTTTTCAATAATTCAGATTTAGAGAGTATATAAATATCATTCTGATAATTTAAAAGAAAATTTCCTTCTTACCGTATATTACAGTCAACCATTGTGCTTGTGTAATAAGAACATAGAATCCATAAACTCCAAGAACCTGAAGATGAATATACCAGAGGACAGAGGCCCATTTGAATTCTTGTTTTTTTATTATTTCATTTTTTTCTGACATTTTTATTTAATTTTTTAAATAATATATTGTCCACTACGCGTTTATAACAGTTTATTTTCACTTAAAATTGACACTTATTTTTAAAAAAAAATTGTAAAACTATATATATATTATAATGAACGAGAAAACTGATCCTTCACTGCAAGGAATTTTTAAATTCAAATTATATCTGTACGATATGAAGGTTTGAGAAAGACTAAAATGTCCCCTGCATTTAACAAAAATAATTCGTTTTAACCCTGTAACCTTAGAAATGAATATCATTAACTTTTACATTGTCATTTCCTTTTGGTCGCATATTAAAAAGACAAGAGGTTTCGGTTATCTCTTATGTCATTTGTAATTTAAATACATTTTTATATCCTTCGTTTGTTTATAAATTGGAGATTTTATCAAATTTATATGTGAACATCTATACATATCCGTTTATAGCCCTTAAGCGAGATTTGTAATTTAAATAAATTTTTGTCCTTTTCATATTTATTAAGGAATTATATATAAATAAATTGGAAATTTTATTGAATTTATTTTAAAATCTAGTTAACTTAGAGTTCGTTATATTTAAATTAATCATGATATGAAGAATATGAACAAAAGGACGAAAATTTGATTTATTGATTTACAACAATGTTTGTAATATTTTTTTTATATGTATCTTTAGTTCCAGATAAAGCAGGAGGATCGTCAATGAAAAAAATTATGCCTAGAAAATATAAATGTAATCATATTACAAAGAAAAAACTTAAACTCATTTTCAGTTGGGTATCGAATGGAGTAATCAACAAACTTCAAGTTACTCAAAATGATCCTGGCCGGAATTTCAAATATCTAGGTTAGTATCATTTTCTTAATGTTATTTTGAATTACAATCTTTTTTTATAATATTCCAACAATGCTAGAAGGATATTCTTTACTAGTACGAATATTTATAGTAATTTTCTAGTAAAAAATATAAATTATGATTTGTGACGCGCTCTGAAGATATGGACCTTATAGAAGGAAACGAATTATAGGTTATGTTTACGGTAATTTTACCTTGATTAAAAGTTTTTTTTTTTTTAATTTTTGGATGTAATAAAGACTTACACAGGTTTACAAATTTCAAATTTTTTTTTGTCACCCGAACAAAACACTTTTTGTTCGATTAATATGTGTTTTTTGAGTAAGAAAATCATATTTAATGATTTAATCATTTAATCATTTTTCATTTTTCCCTCGTGGAATTTTTTTGTAACAGCAAATTATGCATTTTCGAGGTGTGACGTCACTTAAAGTCACTTAAAGTATATTATAATTTTATTTACGTTATCGCGTAGTGAGAATATCTAGTCCAATTATATGAAATATAATACTATTGGAAATAAAATCAAACCAGACTAGATATCGTTACTATGCGATAACGTAAATAAAATTATAATATACGGGATCCGCCATTATGAATTTTGAAAAACTGACCTCAGATTCGTAATCAGCGACCACGAAAACCCCAGAGTACTCATTTTGGAGTACTTAGCTCTAATTATTAAAATTTTGTCTGCCATATTGGATTCGCCATTTTGAATTTTCAAAAACTGACCTCGGATTCGTAATCAGCGACCCTGAAAACCCCCGAGTACTCATTTTGGTGAGCTTCGCTTAAACATAGTTATATACAAAACTGATATAGATCGAAATCACTTGAAAATATACTAAAAGTGAAAAAGTACTTTGTTCAATAAATCTAGTGTAGAATTGTCATTTTTTATCCGATCGAGGTCTATAAAGGCTTAAAAGTTTCGTAATTAAATATACTATTAATAAAAAATTTAAAACTTGTCATTTTTTGATTGTTTGACTTTGAAAAAATTAGCGAAATTTAGACGAATGTCTAAAAATCATTAAAATTTGCTTGAAATTTGAACTTTGATCGACTGTAACTCTTACAATTTTGTATGGATTTTATTGGTTGACCAATGGTTTGAGAGGTAATTTAATTATCTTTCAAATGGTGATTTATTTTTTACATTTGGATTAACTGCTTTCTATACCGGTGACTTTAAGTGACGTCACACCTCGAAAATGCATAATTTGCTGTTACAAAAAAATTCCACGAGGGAAAAAAATTTTAAATATGATTTTCTTACTCAAAAAACACATATTAATCGAACAAAAAATGTTTTGTTCGAGTGACAATTTCACTGTAATCTTGTGTCGTATATTAATTATTTCTATTACGAGTTGTGTACTTTCAATTTAAAATTTCAAAACATAACCTATATTATATCAATCGCGATTGAGCTGAAATTTTGTAGAGGAATTTAAAATATGATAATGAATGGTTGTGAAGTTCGAAAATGTTGATGTATTCTTAAATAAATATAATTCTATAAATATATTCTAACTATTTTCAAGTGTTTTATAATAATTATTTAACAATATATCAACATTTTCGGACTTGACAACCATTCCTTATCATATATATGGAACTCCTTCATAAAATTTCAACTCAATCCATACAGTATTTTACGGGAAAAGTTACGGACAAATTAACATTATACAGATCTAACAGTCACATAACCTTATCATTGTTATCTGTGTCGGATTCAAGAAGAGAATCATCTGTAGAAAAATGGGTTTCTTAGAAAATTAAATCGTAAACATATTAACAATACTGCTTTATCTCATTATAGTGAGAAACATAACCCACACAGCATATAATATTTCCTGAATATTTCATTGAAAGATTTGAAATATTTCAATGAAAGGTTCATGAAATGTTGATGAAAACAGACAAATGTCCGCCATTGAGAAATATTGACGTGCAATTTTGCTGAAATATTACTCTTAATACTTCTGTAATATTACTATTATTAATATTAATATTACTGCACAGCTGTACATGACATAGAAACTGAGATCGACCAATCCGCATCATTGTACTTTTATAGTTTCCAAAATATTTCAATGAAATATTTATGCAACGTAATGCTGAAATATTTCTTATATGCGGACATTTCACTGATTTTAGCAATATTTCAAATACTTCGCATTGAAATATTTAAATCTTTCAATGAAATATTCAGGAAATACTTAGGAAATATTATGTTCTGTGTGGGAAGTTAAAAGTTTTGTTCACTTCACCCAGATAGCACATAAGCTTGCAAAAAAACTTGCGGCAAGCTTGCCGTGCAATATTGCCTACCTTGCACGGCAAACTTACCGCAAGCTTCAAATGTCCCACCTGACCCAAGCTTGCCAGGTAAGCTTACCGAAGGATTGCAGTGTAAGGTTACTGCAAGATTGCACAATAAGACTATCGCAAGATTGTTCAGTAAGCTTGCACGGTAAGCTTGTTGCAAGGTTGGTGCAAGGTTGCCAAATAACCTTGCTTTGAATATAAAAATTTTTTTTGATGTTACGTCTAATTTATATAATTTTATTATATGAATTAGACAAAACATTTAAAAAAAAATTTTATATTTAAAGCAAGGTTATTTGGCAACCTTGCACCAATATTGCTACAAGCTTACTGATCAATCTTGCGATAATCTTATTGTGCAATCTTGCAGTAACCTTACACTGCAATCTTTCGGCAAGCTTACCATGCAAGCTTGGGTCTGGTGGGACGTTTAAAGCTTACCTGTTATCTGTGTATAAACATTTTGACATCTCATAGAAAATAATCTTTTTTCAATCCTTTTTCTTTAATTTTTTATCATTTTCTTTTGTTAGTATTGCTATATTTATTGATAGAGGAAATATACCGTTTTTCATGTTTATACTAAATGAAATTTCTAAACAAAAGAAAGTTATTAAAGAAAAAAGTGTTGTACTTTTTAAAGTTAAAAAATTGTGATTAATATATGAAAAAATCTCGTTAATTTTTTACTGTATATGAGTCAATAATTATTTAAACGAATTATTAAAAATTTAATTTTTTTTTAAACTTTCAATGCCAATTCACTTTACGGAAAAAAAATGATGAAAATTTTGTTTTATTATTTAATTATTTTATTCTTTAATTTGTGTTTTAATGTTATTATAATTATAAAAAAAATCGGACAAGTGCGAGTTACAATCGCATTAAAACCGAGGGTTCTGTACCCTTAAACGTAAAATTTGAAGGAGTTAAAGTGTGAAGGTAGGTGGAAAAATTGCAATTTTGCTTAATTTTTCCTGTAATGTGAGCATGAAAACACATAGGTAGACACATAGTCGCACATAGATCGAAAATTATCATTATTTTTTTTGTAATCTACACGTAAAAATACGTAAAAATGTATAAATTTGAATCCCTTAAGATAACATTTTTTTCTTTTTTTATTCGAAAAATCCATTATTTTTTCTAAAAATACACTGAGAAAAAAATTTAGTGTTTGCAACAAAATTGTTTGGTTATGCAATTTTGGTTTTTGTAACGAAATTTTGATTGACTGAAATAAAGTCGTAGAGTTATCTCAACCAAATATTTGGTTAGGCCAAAAAAATTATTTGGTTGAACATTTTTAAATTCCAACCAAAATTTGGTTACGACAACAAAATAATTTTGTTAACACAAAAAAATAGTTTGGTCTAAAAAACCAAATGATCGTTTGTTGTTCTAACCAAAATTTGGTTGCGGCAACTAAATAATTTAATTCGCTCTCAGCTGATAGCTTAAGAGAACAGTTAGTTTAAATCTCTCACAAGAATGGCTAGTCCAGTGGTCAGAGCTCCCAACCTTCAGTTTTAAAACAGAGGTTCGATCCCAAGCGGAGATGAGATTTTTCGAAGTCCACAAATATTTCGATTGGATAAATATAAATTAAACGTTAAATTGGATAATAAATAAATAATGAAATAAATAAAAAAGATGAAAAGAAAAGAAATAAGGTAGAATAAAATTTTTAATTTTACAAAAAAAATTGTTTGTTTGATCAACCAAAAATTTTTGTTGACCTAACAAAAAAAATTTGGTTAGGCTAACCAAACATTTTTGTTATGCCAACAAAAAACACTCATCCAAATTTTTTGATTGACTCAAACAAATAGTTTGGTTGCTTAAATACCAACAAAATTTTTTTGTTGGCCTAACCAAATTTTGGTTGCTCTGACTAAACATTTTTCTCAGTGTATGAGTTTTCCCTAAAAACAATATAATCATCAACTCCAATCGTGCTCGTTATATCTTTCCTGCAATCTATACGCAAAAATACGCAAGTATACCAAATATGAACGTAATTCCGCATCCAACGAGCCCTGTATGAAGTATTTTGGATTGTTAATAAACAATTAGTTAACATTGCAATTGTTTATTAACAATCTATTTATCCAAAATACTTCATATAGGACTCGTTGGATGCGGAATTAGCTTAACTTTCAATTGGTTAGTTTAGATTTACGATAACTATATTTGTTTGTAAGATATTTCATTTTTTATTGTTATTTAACTAAAATTGAACAAAAATACTTCATATAGGGCTTTTGGATGTTTGTTGTTAGTAAAAAATAAAATATTTTACAAACAAATAAAGTTATGGTAATTCTGAACATACCAATTGAAAGTTAAGGTAATTCCGCATCCAACGAGCCCTATATGAAGTATTTTGGATAAGTAGATTGTTAATAAACAATTGCAATGTTAACTAATTGTTTATTAACAATCTACTTATCCAAAATACTTCATATAGGGCTCGTTGGATGCGGAATTACGTTAACTTTCAATTACTAACTTCAGAATTACGGTAACTTTATTCGTTTGTAAAATATTTGATTTGTTATAAACATTAATTAATTAATTAATTAATATCTCAAAAACTTTAAAAGATCCCACTCTGAAAATTACATGTTTTGTAGGAAATTAGTCAAGCTTTCCATTGAGATAGTTAAAAATAATTTTAAAAAATTCGATTTTGAGATAAACGTAAATTAACATTTTGACCTTGAATTTCAAGGTCAAATGTTATTTTTAAAAAAAAAATTTTATTAACAGCGTGTAGCCCGTCAAAAAAGCTTTAAAAATCATTATATATATGTTAACTTTTATGCATTCTACTTATATATATTGTACATTGAAAAAAAATTTTTTTTTCAAAAGTCAAAAATTAAAAACGTTGTAATTCAAAAACTATTTTATTAAATTCAATAATAATTGATTTTTAGACTTTCACCAACAATAACAACATTTTAGAAAAGTATGGATTAAATTCGAGAACTTTTAATTTTTTGTTCGGACATTTCAGGAATTTTGCCTCATATGTGTACCAAATTTCAGCCCTCTAGATTAATTTGTGTGGCCGCTAGGGGTACGGAACCCTAAAAATACCTAATTATTTAATTAATATATTTGTAATTTTTTGTATAAGTTAAATTTTGTGTATAAAATTGTTATAAACAAATAAGATCTAGTCTGTGTTAAAGTCACCTTGTTAACCATTTTTTTTTAATGTACGTCGCAATAATTAAGAATTTTGTAAGTCGATTTCATTATATAATGTAAATACAGTAAATTTTAATTTAATATAATTTAAGTATTTAACATCAAAATATCGGTAAATAAGTCTTAAAAAATATTTATACCTTCAATATTTGTTTATAATAATTTTATAAAGAAAATTCAACTTGTACAAAAAGTAACCAATACAAAATCGTCATAATTTTTCTTGCAGTATCTATTTGCACAAAAAGTTTTTAAAAACTTGTAAATTTTGTAATAATTTGTTTAAATAATTATTGTTTAACAATTGGAAATTAAAAATGAGACAGGTTTACAACACTCTACTTTCATTTTCTATTTTATCTAAGAATTCAAAAGTTAGTTTTAAAAATTAATAAAGATTTTATGTAATTTATTTTCCATTAAAGAATTTGATTTTTGTTTATGAAATTGTTATTTATTTTATCACAATATGTTGTAAACAAAATAATGATTAACAGAATAATTTTAATTTTGTTTTTGTATATCGCAAATATAAAATGTTTTTACTGTTGACATTTAACATTACTCAAAATTTATATTCATGTAAATTGAAAATTGATGTCATTGATCAATTTAAATATATATTTTTGAGTCAATTTTATTATGCGACACAAATTGGATACGTGGGAAATCTATAAATAAAACGCTAACAAAATTTTCAAATATTCACTTTTTTTTTATTTATAAGTTTCTTGTAACATCACTTCTACTTCAATGTGTATTTATATATAATTATATAGTCTGTCAACTTTTCACTATACTGGAAACTGCAAAATGCATATTTTTTTTCAAATTCACATGCACACATTATTATTATTATTATATCGTTTTTTCATGCATGAAAATTTGACAAAAAAAAAAAATGTTTCCACTGTTAGATAATTTTATAATAGTAAAATCAACGATATATTTAAAACAGTAAAATAATATATTGATAAAAACTTTGACATTTGTACTAAGAAATGTAAATGTTCAAAAAATATTCTTTCATAAACTTTATGCATATAACTATATATAGAGGTGAAGACCATAGTAAAATTATCATTGAAAATTTTATGATTAGTGACTATTATCATATAATTAATTCTTAAATAATAAAATGCATTTTTAGATAATTTTAATCTTGATATTAACTATTTTCAATTTTTAAATATTTTATCCCTTAAATGAAATCAAATTTTATGAAATTTTCAAAAAATTGGTATAAAAAAAATTCTATCATAAAAATTTCACTGATAACATTAATGGTACGTCACCAATAATCTCTTTTAATATTGGTAAAAATTTGTGTGATAAAATATTTAAGGAAATTCAACGGCACTTGGGAACATTCATTATATAGTTTAACATTGAAATTATTATTCATAAGGCACACAAAAGTATATTATCTTGAAGTTCTAAAAATTTCAGCAAATGTATTTTTTTTACTTACATAACTACTCTTTTATTAAATTCAAATTTTGTTTTTTTTTATCTCTCTTTTCTCAAATATTATAAGGATGAAATAATAATTTTTTTTTTTCTGTTAAAAATAAAATTTGGTTCTCATAAACATTTAGAATTTTGGAAACATGCAAAAATAATTTAAACAATCAAAATAATATATGATATTAACAATTAAAAAAAATTTGTTGTTCTTTGTATTCATATATAAATGGAGGAAAATATGTAACATTTAGTTATATAATAAACTTAATAAAACTATTAAGTAAATTAAAAATTACGTAGAAATAAAATATAGATATATATATACTGACCGCAATATCACAAAATATAAATTCATGACATAAATCTTGACAAATAACCAAAGACAACATTTCTAAGGTATTTTTTTTTTTAACGGAAGACCTACTTTATATAGTAAAAAAAAAGTAGTTTTCAAGTCGCAAGAACATTGGACGTTTTTTTTTTTTTTGTTTCTAATACATAATTAATCAGTCTCTGAGTTTAATTATTTTTCCTTTCCATTTTCTTGAGTTCGCAAAAATCTTCCTTTATCATGTCACGATCACCAAAACCCCATATTTGTTTCTCGTGACTACCATCGCCACATTTGGCTGCACGACGTCGCACCATTTCCGGTGAGACACTCTTGAGATCGTAGGCCCAACCGATTTTCTCAAAGAAATCAATAAAACCTGTTGTCCAATTGAATGAATAATTACCAAGTTCTCCAGTTTTATAGTCGAAGGGGAAAACATGATGATAATTATGCCAACCTTCACCAAGAGCTGCTAAAGATACTGCAATATTTTCCACTGGGGAAATGTTTCTAAAATGATAGAAAAAAAAATTTATTTAATAGTGTCGCAAGCGGTCTCTGAAATTCTTTGGTAAAGAGAGAATTTTAATTATCGCCCTCTATAAAGACGGCACTGAATGTGAAAATGATAAATATTGATTTTAGAATACTTTTTTTTCGAAACACAGACACTTTTTATAAAATCGGACAAAATACCATGGATCCTGATTTTACAAATTTCCTAAATCCAAAAAAATTGTGCGAATCCATACAAAAACGCGATTGTAAAACGAAAAGTAGAAAAGTAATATAATAACAGGTTCATTTCGTCCTGCCGCCGTCAGATGGCAGAAGCATGCAGGAAGCACAATGTCGCAGCTGTCATTATAGTACTTTCCTACTTTTTGTTTTGCAGTCGCGTTTTTTTATGGATTAGCACAATCTTTCGGATTTCGGATATTTGTAAAATCAGGATCCTTGGTATTTTGGCAGTTTTTGTAAGAAGTGTCCATGTTTCGAGAAAAAAATATTTTAAAATCAAAGTTTATCATTTTCACATTCAGTGCCGTTTATATAGGTCGATAATAATTAAAGGTCTCTTTTTGCCATACAATTTCAGAGAGCATTCGATTTTATTAACCCATTTCGTCTGAGAAGTCCGTTTTTTCCTCTACATTTGCTCTCTCCATTTTCAAAATTCATGGACTAAAAAAAATTGTCAATAGATGTTTCTTATGTATTTTTTAGTCCTCTTTCAGAATCTACAAGAAAATTTAACTTTTGACTTAAGGATAAAAAGTTATGATTGTTTAAACAAAAAAAAGACGAATTTTTTGGTTTTTTTTTTCATTAAAACTATATTTTTGATTCAAAATCGGATCAGGAAAAATTTGAAATGGTAAAATATCGCGTCCAAAATGTCTGCCCTTTCATTTGGTGATTATAAGAAATTTTTATCCTTTCAAAATTGAAAATGGCGCCTCACTAATGGTTGCCAAAATGTCTAAAATTAAATCTTTCAGTCCCGCTATTAAAAGATTAGACAAATATCTACAAAACTTTATACTCGGGGGTTTATGGTCTCGCTGATTCCGAATTTGAAGTCAATTTTTCAAAATTCAAAATGTCCGATCCAATATGTCATAGTAACAAGTTTCAAGTCGATCGCGTTCGATTTTCAAAATATCGTCCGCCATATTGGATCCGCCATTTTGAATTTTGAAAATCTGACTTCAAATTCGGAATCAGTTTTTATGAAAAAAAAACCCCAAAAAATTCGTTTTTTTTTTTGTTTAAACAATCATAACTTTTTATCCTTAAGTTAAAAATTAAATTTTCTTGTAGATTCTGAAAAAGGACTAAAAAATACATAAGAAACATCTATTGACAATTTTTTTTAGTCCATGAATTTTGAAAATGGCGAGAGCAAAAATGTGGAGGAAAAAAAACGGACTTCACGGATGAAATGGCTTAATAGAATAAAAATTTTATTCTTTTTAATAATAATTGTGTTAAATATAGGAGTTAAATGAAAATTTACTAAACACTAAGTATGAATCTGCCATAAAAACATACAAAAAAAAAACAAAATAATTTAATAAAAATATATTTTTTTAAAAAATACTACTGAATCATGTGTTTTAATAATGAATTATTTAAAAAAAAAATAGTAGCAAAAAATTATTATTATGCTTACTTGTCGTAAGGTCGTTGTCCCCACAAGTGTGCAACGCTATTGACAAAAAAGGCGATATTCAATGTGATAGAAAAGCGGAAGTTGAAGTTTACCCAGAATGAATTCCACAGTGTTTCATTCCAAAAATAATAAGGCACCCATACTGGAAGTGCAATAGCCAGCAAAGCGAAAAGAGGAATATATAGCCTGGAAGTGAATTAAATTTCTGATATATTATTGTTCAATATATTAGCAATATATAATAAATAATAAAGATATCTCTTTATATAGTTAAGAGATATATATTACTTTATTATTATTCAATTATTATTATACTTTATTAAATATTCAATAATATATATAGTAATTAATTATTTATTGAAAAATAATTTATAATTTAAAAATATTACCTCTTTTGCCACATAATAATTGGATCCATTTCTAAATCACGCATGTCTACTATTTTTCGTTTAGCTTCAACATTTGGATGTGGAGTAGTAAACAGCCATCCCACATGTGCAAAGAAAAATCCTCTATTGACATTATGTGGATCAGAATCAGTTTCACTGTATTTATGGTGGATTCTATGGTCCAGAACCCATGTATGTATATCTCTCTGTAAGGTAAGAATTATAATTATGTTCTTCTTCTTATTATTATTATTTTATAATTACTTTTATTTAATATTTTTATTTTTAGTTATTTATATTATATTAGATGTTGTATTAATTAATCCAACTTTGAACATACATTGACCCTCCATCAAACATAATTATGGAAAGTACGATATACGTGAACGTATATTATGTCTATTTTTATCCTATTTTGAACCTAGAGTGAAATATCTTTGATTCTATATTGAATCTACGTTAAATCTATATTAAACCTACTTTAAATCTAATCTCTTTACTACTAACTACTATGAATCTAATACCAACCTACATTAAACCTACATTTAATCTGCATTGAATCTACATTGAACCTATGTACATTGATTATATATTGACACTACATCCTATACTGAACCTACATTGATTCTGTATTGAACCTTCATTATATTTAACCTTCATTATATTTAACCTACTTTGAATTAAATTAAGTTAATTTAACCTAGTATACTAAGATGAACCTATATTCAACCTACTTTCAACCTACATTTAATCTACATTGAATCAGAATATAATCTACATCGAAGCTACTTTGAACCTGCATTTAAAATCAGGGACTGACACGGAAACGAAACAAAACGCCAAATCAATTTTATGTAGTGTCGTGTTCAATCACAAACACGTTTAATAATTTATAATGTTTTCGTGTCCTAACCGGACACTTTTAAATTAATGAAATGTTTTCGTGTCCCGACCAGACACTTTAAAAAAAAATAAATGTTTTCGTGTCCGGACACGCCACTTTAAAATTTTTTAAATGTTTTTGTGTCCACACCCGACACTTTTAAATTATCAAGAGTTTTCGTCTCCGAACACGATACTAAAACTTTTTAAATGTTTTCGTGTCCGGATAGGACCCACTTTCTCATTGTAAAATATTCTCATGAACAAATTTACTTGTTACGCCATTTTTATTTTTTTCATTTGTGAAATTAGATTTGGATTCAGTGATCCCAAAAACTAGCAACTCTCCTTTCCTCTCCCCTCCACCATTACAAAGATTAAAAATTTAATTAAATTTATAATAAATTATTCATATTAAATTAAATTAATTTATTAAATATTTCAGTGACTAGACATGAAACATTAAAAAAGAATTATGTCTCGTATCCAAACACGAAACGTTATTCAATGAGAAAATGTGTTGTGTCTGGACACAAAACATTTTATTATTTTAAATGTGTCAGGTCCGAACACGAAAACATTTCTTTATTTCAAAAGTGTCAGATACAAACACGAAACGATATTCGATGAGAAAATGTGTCGTGTTCTGACACGAAACATTACTCGACAAGAAAATGTATCGTGTTCGGACACGAAACATTACTCGACAAGAAAATGTATCGTGTTCGGACACGAAAACATTTTTTTATTTCAAAAGTGTCGGGTCCGGACACGAAACATTATTCGATGAGAAAATGTGTCGTGTCCTAACACGAAACGATAATCAATGTAGAAATGTGTTGTATCAGAACACAACACATTAGTCAATGGGGAAATGTTTCGTGTTCGGACACAACACATTAGTCAATGTGTAAATGTGTTGTGTACAGAACAGAAACGGAAACGACACGAATGATTTGAACAAGTCCCTGTTTAAAATACATTGATTCTGTATTGACCCTATATCCTTTATTGAACCTACGTTTAACCTACACTAAACCTACTTCAAACCTTCTACTACAAAACACTATGAACCTAATTTAAACCTACGTTGAACCTACTTTAAACCTATATATTGAAGCTTCATTGAACCTTGTATAGTTTTAGTGAATCACTACTGTGATCTAATTTAAACCTACATTGAACCTACATTAAATCTGTATTGAACCTATTTTAAATCTACCTACATTGAATCTGCATTGAATCTATAATAAACTTACTTTAAACCTACTACTATTAACTAATGTGAATATAATTTGAACTTATATTGAACCTACTTAAACTTACATTGAATTAGCATTGTATATCTACATACTGAAAGACTTTTTATATCAAAAATTAATATAATGTATTTCAAAATGGGGAAAACTTTTTTTCTAATACAGTACAAAGGAAAAAATAAGTTTTGTTTCAAACCCGAAAGGAAGCTAGTTTCAATATGAGACACAAACTTGACCGAATATAATTTCTAACTCGCTCATAGCATAAGTCTTACTTTAAGCCTACTGTATAATTGAATCTACGTTAAACCTACATTGCCATTGAACCGACATTGAACATACCTTAGACCTACATTAAACCTATATTAAACCTTCAATTAAATTACAGTTAATCTACATTGATTCTCTATTGATCCTACATTGATCAATATTGAACCTATATTGGACCTACATTAAACCAACATTTAAAAAAAGTTTAAACTTTGTACAAAAGTCTTTGTAAAAAAAAAATGGAAAAAATTTATTTCATGAATTATAAGATAATTTCCCAGTTTCTAGCCACCTTAAGATTGGTACGACCTAAAAGTTAGCCACGATCCAAAACTTGATCATTTAATTTTATTAAGATAGTGACCAGCTTTTAGATCGTGATGGCTAACTTTTGGATCGTATCAAAATTTTAAAGTGGCGAGAAACTGGGACATTTACCTTAAAATTACAATATAGTATTTTTTCCTGGCACAATTTCCTTTTTCTGAAGATTTTTTATTTATGACGATAAATAACACAGCCCCACAAAAAAAAGTGTCATATACTTTTGACCGGAATCCCCTATCCCTATGTACTTTGACGCGCTAAACACGAATCCGTAGTCCGTTTTCCTCCATCACGTCAGGATTTTTTTCTAACCTCAAAAAACATGTCGGATTTTGAGAGATAGGCGATTTTTTAAAAAATTAATTTATTTACTTCAAACTTGGTATCTAGGGGTTTTTTGGGTCGCTGATTACGAATCAGATGTCAGATTTTCGAAATTCGATATGTCTGATTCAATATTAAGGAATTATTTTTAAAAAATTGTCAGATTATTATGAAATTTGGTATCTACAGGTTTTCTAAGTTGCTGAAAAGTAACACTAGGGAATTGTGCCATACGCCGATTTTTCTGAAACTTGGCAGTTTTGTAGATACCAAGTTTGAAATAAATCTTAAAATTTTTTCAAAATTCGTCTGCCATATTGAATCCGCCATTTTGGATTTTGAAAATCTAACTTCAGATTCGTAATCAGCGACACAAAAAAACCCCAGATACCAAGTTTGAAGTTAATACATCAATTTTTAAAAAAATCGCCTATTCAAAATCCGACATGTTTTTTGAGGTTAGAAAAAAATCCTGACGTGATGGAGCAAAACGGACTTCGGATTCGTGTCCAGTGCGTCAAAATACATAGGGTTAGGGTATTCCGGTCAAAAGTACATGACACTTTTTTTTTTGTGGGGCTGTGTAATAAACAATATGAAACATATATATATATATATATAATATACCTGTCCGGTTATTGTGAAAAGAAACGCTAGTAACAATCTTAATGGCCATTTTGCCTTATAAGCTCTATGGGACCAAAGCCTATGAACCCCAGCGGTGATACCAAAGCCAGAGGTGTAAATCGTTACGAAAGCTGAAATCAATAATAATAAAAAATATATAAGGTTTGCGTGTTTATAAACTTGGTTTATGTGTTCTAATACTTCTATATACGCGTTATTTTCACGTAAAACATAGTTTATAAGACGAAAGATTAAAATTGATAAGAATATATTGTATACCAAATATACCGTGCTTCATTTTACAATGGTTTCTTTGAAAATACATTCTTAAATCGTTTTTAGTTATATATAGCTATATACAGAAACAAGTTGCGTGACTTTACAAGTGCTTTCATACAATTCAAAACTTTAACTTTTTTATGTATAATTTTTCATATCTATATATAATATATATTTTTCCAAGAAAAATATTATTTATTTATATTATTTCAAAATTGATACTTTTATTATAAATATATGTATCTTTATGTAGAATCGTACAATCTTATTTTTACTAGTCACAAATCATTATGTAATTTGCTAAACATAATTTCTTGAAAATTTTCTAAAATATTCGCGACGTAATACAATTTATTATCCAAAAGAAAAATAAGACTTTTATTGATTGATTTTTTTTGCGTATAATTATCCTATAAAAATCATTAATTGGAATTTTCATTTTAAAGAATTTTATTAAGAATAATTATTTTTTAGATGAAATTTCATTTTTTGAATTAGCATTCGATAAAATTTCTTTTTACAAATGTCCGAACAAACAATTGACAAAGATTTCGGTCAATTTTAAAAATTGTGCCGAAAAATTCGAATCACATAAAATTCAATTAAATGAAAATTCTGTTAAATTAAAATTCTTTTAAATAAAAAGCCATATAAAGAAAATGACTGTAAAATAAAAATTCTGCTAAACAAAAATTCGGTAGCTAAAAATTTTGTTGAGTCAGAATTCGTATAAAAAGAAATTCTGTTAAATATGCTAATTCAAAAAATGAATATTTGTTTAAAAAATAATTATTTATAAAAAAAAATCCTTTAAAAAGAAAATTTTAATTAATAATTTTTATGGAATAATCATTCGCTCTTAATAAATTTTTAAAAGCATAAAAATTTATAATTATTATTAAGGAATTATTAGATTTTTCTTGAAAAAATTGACCGCAACTATTTTTGAGTGAAATAAAAAAAAATTGACCCTATATATTTTTAAAAAAATTTCAATGAAAAATTTCTCTTTTTTTTTATAAAGAAAAAAAAATATAAAATCCTTACCCCAAAGTGACGTGAGAGCCTTAGCTTGTGTAAGACAAAGGTAAAATCCATAAACACAACCAAAATGAATAAACATTTGTGCAGCAAGATCAGGCCATTTGATTCTTGGAATATATTCAACATTATTTTTATTCAATTCCAAATCATTGTCAGCGTCTTTGGGAAAATAATCATTGCAATAATCATCATCGTCATCTTCATTTTCCACAAGTTCAATTTCATTTTCCTTTAGAGAACATGTCCCATTCACTAGATTCTCTTCGATTTGAGTCATTTTTTATTTATATATAATATATAAATATTATTTAAAATTTATTTTCAATTATTTTTTCTTCTATTGAATTTCTTTTCTTCCTCGATGCTATCATTGACCTTTTATGTATATAAGTACTATAGTTTTTTTTTTTTGTCAATGTAATCAACTTTGGCAATTTTTGATGTATTCTTTATAAAAAAGCTGAAAAACACATATTTATTAATTACAATATTATAAATAGAGTTAAATTTATAAAATTAACGTTTTTATTATTAAAGACTGCAAACGCATATAGGTTAAATAATAAAAAATGTGATGAAAAATTATTATCAAGAATTCCGAAAGGAAAATATTACTAAAGTGATGAAAAAGATATATTCAACAGGTGTTCAACTTATCTATTTATATTTGAGATAACAGATAAGGAAACAAATATATAAATATAAATCATTAAAATGTACGAAAATCTTGATATATTTTTAATTACGATCAAATTGATTTTGTTAATTATTAACAGGTGTGCAAAAAAAAATTAATAATAATAATTGTAAAATGATTTAAAGATTAGTATATAAATTTTATCTGAATATTTTGATTTTTAAAGTCCGATATTATGTCAACATTTTAAAAACTGTTGATCTTGATTCCATTTCGATTCATACAAAGCTATGTTTGGTTATAACTCTAAAAAATTATCTCCTATGTATATTATTTTTTAGACAATTGTTTCTTATAGTCTTAATAGTCGCTAATTACGAATCCTATGTTAGTTTTTCAATATTCAAAATGGCGGATCCAATATGAAGGTCGACAATTTTTTAAACCGTTTGTATTTGCTTTAAACTTGTTATTCTGGGGTTTTCAAGATTGCTGATTACAAATCTGATATTAAATTTGTATTTAGTGACCACAAAAACACCTGAGTAACAAGTTTCTAGTGAAACCAATGAATTTAAAAAAAATTGTCCACCATATTGAATCCGCTTTTTTGAATTTTGAAAAACTGACATTACATACGTAATTGGCGATCCTAAAAACATTTCAAACGATTTTTAACCCTTAATTGGCACCATGGGTCCAGTAGACCCGAGCATTTTTTATAGCAATATATTAGTTTGACATATTCTTAGCAATTTTCTAAGTTTTTTGACACAACTAATTCGATACAAATGAATAAATTAGTTTCAAACATTAAGAATTATAAATTTTTAATTTTAACCTAAAAAGTCACATTTTAATCTGCAAAACTCATGAATTTTTAAGTAAAAACACGCAATATTTCACAATTTTTTTTAACTAACTTGAGATAAATTAATCTCTGTAAAATTAATTACATTTTAAAAAACACATCATAAACTACCTTAGATTAAATTTTTGTGCAAAAATATTTAAGGGTTAAAAATGACCACTATATATTGTATAAACGCAGGTATTCATAAACTGAAAGTAATTTTTTGGACCAAAATATATTTTGTTCATGACTATACTTTATTAGAGGTAAAATGACTATTTTCTTTACAATTACACAGGCCAACAAAATTTGATTCAATTTTTTTTTCAAGAATCAGACAATACTTTTCCAAAGGCTTTCTACGTGCTAAATCCGAATCCGGCCTCAGAATTGACTCTACACGTTTGGTTTTCGATATATGATAACCTTAATGTGCAAAAAACCCGTTTTTTAACTGCATTTGAGGTCATGTATAACATCAAGAGATAATTTTTTTTCCAAAAGATCAATAAGGCGTCTGAAAGTGCTATTCTTCCCCTTTAAAACCCATTTTGAATATTTAAAAAATCCTCATTTGTCTCTGAGTAATTGTTCATTAAAGTTTCTGAGTATGGCGAATTCTTCGATATTTAAAAAAATCGTTTGCCATATTGAATACATTATGAATTTTGAAAATCTGCCATCGAATTCCTGTTCAGCGACCCCAAAAACCCTCGAGTAACAAATTACAAGCAAATACAATCGATTTTCAAAAAATCATCGAAGAATTCGCCATAGTCAGAAACTTGAATGAACGATTACTCAGAGACGAATGAAGATTTTTTAAATTTTCAAAATAGGTTTTAAAGGGGAAGAATTGCACTTTCAGATTAAATAGTAAAATTAAAACCCTTTTTTACAGTACACGGAAAAACTTTGTTCAAGAATCATTCCTGAATTTTGTTCAGGAACTGAGGACGCGAGAAAAATTCTGCAAAATTTACAGAAAAATACAAAAATCATTCAAGAAAATACTTGTATTTTTATTATGACATTGGAAGACTTCTTGTTAATGCCGCGATCGGAATATCCCAGTCACTGGGCGTTGAAAGTTTCTTGAACTGTTTTAGAAGACACAGTACAGTAACCAAGCACTTGGCAGGGATTGGTTGCGTCAAATATGTTTCCAATGCATAATATCATAAGCTTCTAAGGTTGCTGAGAGATGTAAAGCGCAGTTTTTGGACTCTCGAGGACGTGGGATCGAGTCCTCCCAGAGTAAATTTTTTTTCTCGCAAACGTAAAAATTTATTCTAAAACAAGTTCAAGACTTTCTGTAGTGAGTTTAGGAAGTTGTCTTGAATTTCTCTACAATTCTTATAGAAATACTGCTTAGAACTTTTCAAAGAAAATATAAATAAGATTTCTTAAATTATTCTCATATCCTCAGTTCCTTAACAAATTTAAGAATGATTCTTGCACAAATTTTTTCCGTGTGTGTATATTATTCTTTTTGTCAACATTGCATTACGTGTGATTTTACAGCCCTATTGGCTAAATTAAATTACTGTGAATGCATTGTAAATAAAATCGAAGGTCAATACAATCTTAAAACAATAAATTAGATTACGTCGATATAGCATATATTGAAATGAAAAATTCTTTTTTAGATAAAAACAAATTTTTATTTTTAACATAAATAAAGCTTATAGTAAAAAAGTTTTTGTAAAATAATAATTATTTTAATCCATATCATTATTTAAAATTGATTTAATTCAAAATTGTGTTAATTTTAAAATCACATAGTCTCATGAAAATATATGCGCCCTTTTTTTTTGTTTTATAATTTTTATAATTTCACTCAAAACTTTATAAATGGTGGGGATTTTTAATTAATATTAATATATATATATATATATATATATATATAATTATTTAATATTATTATCTATAATATAAATATTATAATATTTAAACAAGAATTACTAAAATAAAAGTGTGTGATTTTCAAATTTATTTCATTCTTCAACAATTTTTCAGGAGTGGGGGATGATCACTGCAGTAGCGTCGCTCAAAACTATTCTGCGTACATTTTCGAAAAGTATCGTCGCGTCCAACCTGAAGACCACGTGTTCGTGAAATTTTTTACTTTTTACAAGTGAATTTTTAGCTTTCGGGAGTGCTCGTATTTTTTAAACCGGTGGCTGAGTGACATGTAGAGTATTATATTAATTTTTTAAATTTACTTTCAGTACAATTAAAATATTTAATATCGGGAGTGTTTCCGTAATATTTAAAACCGCGATCGCATAATGTGATGCTTCACGAGAAAAAAGACATTAAAGGCAACAAATTTTAGGTTTTGTTTAGTGATTAAATATTCATTTTTTATTATGTAAAATCATCCCGTGTAGAAAAATATCGTGGCGCTATGATGGCACCATCCTAGCTTTCCGTGACACTGTAATGGCGCTAGGCCCATTTGTCACAATTTTGTATTCTAGCCACTAGCTAGTATTGCGGGAATGGTGAAATTTAAAAATTAAGATACAATTTCCATTACATTTTCTTAAATTACCACATAAAATTCTATAAATTACCATAAATTACCGTATAAATTTCCAAAATTAGTTTTTAACATTTTCTTTTATATATTATAAATTACCTTAAAAATTTCATAAATTACCATACCATAAATTTCCAAAATTAGTTTTCAAATTTTTCTTTTATACATTATAAATTTCCGCATAAATTTCAAAAATACCGTATAAATTTTATAAATTACCGCATAAATTTCCTGCAATTATTTAAAAAAAATTTAAATTTTGTTTGTATTACAATTATAAATTACCTCAAAAATTTTATAAATTTCCATAAATTACCACGTAAATTTTCTTAAATTACCAAATAAAATACCATAAATTACCCTATAAATTTCCAAAATTAGTTTTCAAGTTTTTCTTTTATATATTATAAATTACCGCATAAATTTCATAAATTACAGCATAAATTTCCCGCAATAATTTTTAAATCTTAAATTTTGTTTATATTAAAATTATAAATTACCTCAAAAATTTTATAAATTACCGCATAAATTTCCATAAATTATCATGTAAATTTTCTGCAATAGTTTTTGAATCTTGAATTTTGTTTGTATTATAATTATAAATTACCTAAAAAATTTCATAAATTACCTCATAAATTTCCATAAATTACCAAATAAATTTTCGTTATTGTAGTTTTTTTTAATCTTGAATTTTGTTTGTATTATTATTATAACACTATATACAAAGATTTGTATTCTATTGGATTAGGTTATGTTGCATTCTAGCAGAATGAACTCGCGCCATTGACGGGGCTAGGTGAAATCGCTAGGCTATAGACTGTTATCACGAATCCAGTTGTGGCGCTAGCTATATAGCTAGACTTCCACGATTAATTTCCACACGGGGCAATATCAGATTCTATTGAATATTTTAGATTTAATAAAGACATAAACATCAATGATTTGTATTAAGAGTTGATACTCTTTGTTTATTTTCAATCGAAAAAATCACAAACGTAACCAAAATTTTTTTTTGCCTCTTAAGTTCCCTTTTTTCGTGGAACGTCACATGTAAAAATTAAATAAGTTTAATGTTTACAATTAACACGTGGTTCGGGAGTGTTCGAAATTTTTAAAATCGCGTGTGAGTATTTTTCTTCCAACCTGGTAAACAACGTTCGAATGCTGATCCTGGATGGATATTGGGCATGGGCGAAGGATGTACACTGTAAGATTTTTTATTTTATATGTAATTAATAATTACAAAAAAAAAGAACAGGACAGTGTAAAGAATTTTAACCATCCTGTTTATGTAATAGAATTTTTTTAATAATTTTTTACTATTTTTAAATATTTTTGTTTTTCTTTGTTTTAGACTGAAGGTCAGGAAGGAGGATGCAGAGAAAGCATGGCCCCTGCTATCGCTCCGTCGAGGGAATTCGCGATTGGTAAGTAGAATTTTGTTTCTACGAATCTAACGACACAACCTGCGAAATATTTGAATTTTTTTCTACTAACGTAACAAACATAACCTGAAATGTTTAATTTTTAAAATAACCTCAATTTTTGAATTTAATCATTAAAATAGAAAATGAAAATTATTTTAAATACGTGAGTAATAATGATTTCTATAATTAAATTTTTCTAATTGCTTTTTATTTCACGTGCCACCTTTGTGATTTTGGACATATATGTGTGCGATTCCAAGTGAGATTTTGACTTTTTCGGAGTAGGTTAACCGATTGCAATGAAACTTTGGAATTTTGTTATATATAATAAGACTAATCTTTAACGTAAATTTCAGCCTAAAATATTTGTTAGTTTACGAGATTTGCAATAATAACAAAAAATTTAAAACTGCTATATCTTCCGTTCTAATAAACGGATTGAGGTCTACTTTTTTTAAAATGTCAAGGAAAATGAGAGGAATAAATCTCTTTCAGAACATTTTTTTATAATTTTACAACTAAAAAAATTATTAAATAATAATTGAATAACTTTCGCGCGACTAACTAAAATTCAATCACTTAAACGCTAAAATGATCTTACCTGTGTTTTCTTTAATGTTCCAAAGGATTTTTATTGTAAATGTAAGTTTAACTTAAGAAATTTTATTAATTTATTAGTATAAACAATTGAGATTTCTGCTAGTTGACGTGCAGACGACATTGCGCACGCAGCATTCTCACATAGCCAATTTAGTCCACGAATCACGTCAGTTGGCTATGTGAGAATGCTGCGTGCGCAATGTCGTCTGCACGTCAACTAGCAGAAATCTCAATTGTTTATACTAATAAATTAATAAAATTTCTTAAGTTAAACTTACATTTACAATAAAAATCCTTTGGAACATTAAAGAAAACACAGGTAAGATCATTTTAGCGTTTAAGTGATTGAATTTTAGTTAGTCGCGCGAAAGTTATTCAATTATTATTTAATAATTTTTTTAGTTGTAAAATTATAAAAAAATGTTCTGAAAGAGATTTATTCCTCTCATTTTCCTTGACATTTTAAAAAAAAGTAGACCTCAATTCGTTTATTAGAACGGAAGATACAGCAGTTTTAAATTTTTTGTTATTATTGCAAATCTCGTAAACTAACAAATATTTTAGGCTGAAATTTACGTTAAAGATTAGTCTTACTATATATAACAAAATTCCAAAGTTTCATTGCAATCGGTTAACCTACTCCGAAAAAGTCAAAATCTCACTTGGAATCGCACATGTTCATATTAGAAAACAAATACTAAACATAATTAGAATTGAGTGTCAATGTGTATACTAATGCCATATTGGGTCCACAATTTTGAATTTTTAAAATCTGACATTAAATTTGGATTCAGCGACCCCAAAAATCGCCGAGTACCGAATTTTGAACGAATCGAATTAATTTAAAATTTTTCCGCTATATTGGGTAGCCATATTAGGTCCGCCATTTTGAATTTTTAAAATCTGACCTCAAATTTGGATTCAACGACCCCAAAAACCTTTAATATGATGATAAAAAATTTTTTTGGAAACTTTTTTTTGTACCGTTTTGGGCCCACAAACGATTTTTCTACTCAACTGCGAAGGGGTCAATATTGTTATATCCCCTTTTATTTAATTGTTATTTTTATATACTTGAAAATCAAAGACTTTTTGACTCGCATTTGGAAAAAAATAAACTAAAAATTCATATTATTATTTATAATTATCTCTTATTAATACTACAACGAAAATCAATTTTGATTTTTTCATTTTGAAAAATTTAATTAAAAATAGGAGACTGTTTGTTTCTATTTACCCCTAAATCTGGAAATTAGGGATAAATAGAAACAGAAATTTCAGCAATATTTCTTATATTAGAGAGAGAGAGAGAGAGAAAATTGTTTCTATCAACTACAACACTATTTTCAGCATTATAAAAATGCATTGAAAATAGTATTCATATCTATATTCTCATCATTACATAGTATATTTAACATGGCTTATTTTTAAACTTATGTAATGCATTATTATTTATTAGTTTGAATTATTTTATAACTAACACCATTTTTTTACGTAATTCTTTGTATTTTTTAACATTTGCATACTTAAAATTAATTTTTTCTCAAATTTTCTAAGAAATAATGACTGCATAGAAAAAAGTTGAACTCATATTTATGCATTTCAAAATGAGTGCATGTTAAATGACATTGAACGTGGCGCCATCTGCCTATCTCATTTTTGATGCTTATCAAATTAAGTATAAATTTTGTACTCAATTTGAGATTAGGTTTTTTCTGTGTGTTTCATATTTACCCCTAAATTTTAGTAAAGATGAAAAATTTAGGAGTAAATGGAAACAGTTGATTATTGCTATTTAATGATACCCATATTTTCTACTACCCCACAAAATTGTTCCACGGAAGTTAAATAATAACTCAATACACAAAAAACCGAAAGTATTGCGATTTAAAAGAAAAAACATATTATTAGTGAAACTTAGCAAATCCGTTTCTATTTACCCCAACTGACCCTAAATGTTTAAAAATTATTACAATCCCCCCCTATCTGATTGGTTTTTTTTAGTGTTTAAGCTCAGGTGTCAGATGCGTCGCCGGACGTTATCCCTAGTGTAGGTTTATTTTCACCTGAGCGGTATACGTGTGTGATATTAGTCAGGTTTTCGTGTTTTTTTAAATATAGCTAGAAAGGTCTTTTTTTTATGAATGAGAAGTAATTTTCTCTATATACACTACTGTCGGAAATTGTCGGTACGGCTAACGTGCGTGGAGTAGAAATTTGGTGCTGACTTTAAAGCAAGATATTTTAAGTTAGAAAAAAGATAGAGACTTCTAACTTAGATGGTTGGAAAGCTGATAAAATTCTGCTTCTCAATGTTTATCAAGAAATTTTTTTTCTTTTTTTTTGGTATTTATTACACCGAAAAGATTTGAAGAAAAAATTATGCAATTTTCTACTTTCGAACTAATGTTTTTTGACTCCCGGCATAATCTATAGAATAATGCATGGAAAAATTTTGACAATTTTACAACATAATCTTTAGGGTCTTAGCTTTAATTTGCATTTTTGAAACTTAAAAAATGTTTTGTGGTTCCTGAAATATATGTTAAAAAAGGTCCGAGCATGTTTTCCTACAACTCAGCCATCAATCATCACTTTTCGCCGCCTCGCTGCTGGGTTGTAGAAAAACATTCTCGAATATTTTTTAACATATTTCAGGAACTACGAAACATGTTTGAAGTTTCAAAAAAGCAAATTAAAGCTAAAAACTTAAAGATTGGGTTAAAATTTGAAAAAGTAAAAAATGTTTTGTAGTTCCTAAAATATGTTAAAAAATATTCGAGAATGTTTTTCTACAACCCGGCTGAGTTATAGGAAAACATGCTCGGACCTTTTTTAACATATTTCAGGAACCACAAAACATTTTTTATTTTTCAAAAATGCAAATTAAAGCTAAGACCCTAAAGATTATGTTGTAAAATTGTCAAATTTTTCCATTCATTATTCTATAGATTATGCCGGGAGTTAAAAAACATTAGTACGAAAGTAGAAAATTGCATAATTTTTTCTTGAAATCTTTTCGGTGTAATAAATACCAAAAAAAAAAGAAAAAAAAATTTATTGATAGCAGAATTTTATTAGCTTTCCAACCATCTAAGTTAAAAGTCTCTATCTTTTTTCTAACTTCAAATATCTTGCTTTAAAGTCAGCACCAAATTTCTACTCCTCGCACGTCAGCCGTACCGACAATTTCCGACGGTAGTGTATATAGAGAAAATTTTTTTTCCCTAAACGTTTCTAGTTATAAGAATTTTGCATGATATAATCGTGTCGCTGTCTTCATGTTCTCTTGTAAATGTTCAATTTACATTCAAAATAAATTACACTAAAAAAAGATTTATTTGATTCAAATACTCGGTTACTTGACTATTATCAAATAAATATTTACTTGAACCAAATAATTTTTATTTAAATTATATAAATTGTATTTGAACCAATAATTTATACATTTGAAACCAATACCATCTCATATAATAATTATTTGATACAAATAAATATTTATTTGATAATAGTCAAGTAATTGAGTATTTGAATCAAATAATTTTTTTTTTAATGTATATTTAATTCAAATTAAAAATAGTAATTTTTTTAAAAATCTTGTAAATTTTATTGATATTTTTTTACGTGTACAATTAAAATATATTAATAAATAAAATAAAAAATTTTCTCCTATATAAAAATTGTCACTTGAACTGTGACATAATTTTGAATTAGTCATTTCTTGCAGTTATGTTACTTCCATGGTCACGTCATTCATGCAAAACAATGAATGCACAATGACCTTCTCATGGACGCAGAAACTGCAGAATGTAATTTATGTTGCGTATAATTTTCTAAAGGCGTGGTGATTTTTAAAATAATGTATTTTCCGTATTGAAACAAATTTTAACATTTTAGATTATTTAGCAGAAAAAAAACGAAAACAATTATAATATGAATTTCTAATTTAATTAAAAAAAATTTTAATTTAAAATATTACAAATTACATATCTTGATTTAATATTTTTTAAAAATTCTATTATGAAAATATAAATGACATAATATTATCTAATATAAAATTGAGAACTTTTCTCATATTGTAATTCGATCTTAAGACAAATTTTCTTTCTTAATGTGGTCATGTCATTTGACGTCAGAAACTTTAGTTCGTGATTTTAGCATCATATATTCATTTGCTAATAATACTTTGTCTAAGTATGAAATTCTTTTGCTCCACTTTAAGTTTATTTTTAAAAAAAACATTTACATTCGCATTTTTATTCGTATATAATTTATAGAAAACTTTCTGTCGATTGTTTGTTCGGCCATTTGCAATTTGGGACAAATGAAAATTCTATCAATTAGAAATTCTGTTAAATGATTTTTCAGTTAAGTAAAAATTCTGTAGTGTGAAAAATCGG